TGAGAAGATCAAGAAACTTGTCTCACAATCACCAGTCCTACAGTATTATGATGTCACCAAACCGGTAACAATCCAGTGTGATGCAAGTGGCAAAGGATTAGGAGCAGTGTTACTACAAGAGGGAAAGCCTGTGTGTTATGCTTCTCGAGCTCTTACGGACACTGAGAGCAGATATGCTGCCATTGAAGCCGAAATGCTTGCAGTAGTCTTCGCTTGTCGTAAGTTCCATCAGTATATATATGGCAGAAGTGTGATTGTCGAGACAGACCATAAACCACTACAAGCCATCAGCAGCAAGCCATTATCGCAGGTTCCGTTGCGACTTCAGAAAATGATTCTTAACGTGCGTGGATACGACGTGGAGATCCGTTATGTTCCTGGCTGTAAACAAGTATTGGCTGACACTCTGAGTCGAGCATCTTTGCCAAATAGCGAACAGGAAAATTATGCAGAATTCCAGGAAGTTCATATGGTTCTTGCAGTTTCGGACGAGCGATATGAGGAATTCCAGAAAGAAACCAAAACCGATCCGGAACTACAAGCCGTCATTACGTTAGTGAAGAGTGGTTGGCCGGATACGAAACAACAAGTTCCTGTCGCAGCCAGACCTTACTGGACATTCAGAGATGAAGTTGTAACAGCAGACGGGTTGCTCTTTAAAGGAACACGCCTAATCGTGCCAAGAGTTCTTAGACCAGATATGCTTCGTCAAATTCACAAGAGTCATCTGGGGATAGTCAAATGTAGACAAAGAGCCAGAGATGTATTATTTTGGCCTGGCATGTCAGTACAGATTGAAGAAATGGTTACTAATTGTAGCGTGTGTGCCGATTATGCGAAGAAGCAGCCTTCAGAGCCTTTGAAACCAACCGTCCCTCCAAAGTTTCCGTGGGAAAAGATAGGAACCGATCTGTTTGAATTTCGTGGAGAACATTTTTTGGTTTCTGTGTGTTACCGCAGTAAGTTTCCAGAGGTCACCAAGATGGAATCTACAAGAAGTAGTGCTGTCGTAGACGAGCTCAAACGCCAATTCGGTGTCCATGGAATTCCAGCCGAGGTCATTTCTGATAATGGGCCCCAATACAGTAGTCGCGAGTTCCAAGAATTTGCAAAAGAGTATGGTTTTAAACATACCACCAGCTCACCGCACTTTCCAAGAGCAAATGGAGAAGCAGAAAGAGCCATCCAAACTATTAAGAATTTGTGGCGAAAAAATAATGATAAGTACTTAGCCCTACTTCACTATCGGACAACGCCGTTACCTAACATTGAACTGTCTCCTGCTCAACTACTTATGGGACGTCGACTGCGAAACGACTTGCCTGTGATGGAAGGTTTACTTCAACCTGCTAACACCAGCCCACAACGTATTTCCGAATATTTAATGAAGACTAAAGAAGACCAGAAAAAGTACTACAACAAGCATGCAAGTAAGGAGCTGAAAGAACTACAGCCTGGAGCTAAAGTCCGGTTAGAACCGTGGACGTATTCCAGAGAATGGAAACCAGCGACGGTACTGGGGCATCACCATACGCCAAGATCATATATAGTGCAAACGGATGATGGAAGAAAGTATCGCCGCAATCGACAGCATTTGCGAGTTGGACCAGCCCTTGGATCTGACAGTAACGACCAAACTATAGCTCCGGCAGTTGACAAAGAAATGTCATCTCCCGAGAATGCAGTTTCACCGTCCGTTGGTTCTGACCAATCCACTGCCTCATCGACCGTGAATCCAGATCCCTTACCCTTACCAGAAATATCCCCACCACCTGGACCACCTGTCAAGACCACCAGCCCGTACGTTACAAGAAGTGGTCGATTAGTGGTGAAACCCAAACGATTTGGGTGGTAACGTTAGAAACATTATTTGACATTAATTTTAGTTATTTTTATAAGTTTAATGAACTTATTATCTTACGTTTATATTTGACTTTGCTTTATCTAGAACATTTACCATTTTGTCTTAGTAACTTGAACTTTAATTTATTTAGAATTTAGGCTATTATTAAAAAGGGAAAGATGTGATATAATTAGCATAAGCATACTCTGCCCTCCCGGGTGAGTATATTTGTAAAGTATTTAGGTTTGAATAATGAAGATTGTCGGGGCTGTTGAGAGTCCACCATCTTGAACGAATGTCCTTATTTTACAGTCTCGTTTTGGTTTTAAAGGTTTTTTTAGTCCCGAATGGATGGAATTTTTTTCATGTATGTGTTGAAGGATGATGTTTCGCATGCATGTTTGAAAGAGGTTCTAAGTTAAAAACAATGAAGTTGTGACGTGTAACTAAAAAAGTATAAAAATTAAAACAATCAATATACTTTTGTTCTAACTTGTCCAAAGCAGCATCTCTTTGTGCCAACATATCCTGAACAGCTAATGCATAGGTATTCTCTAACTGAAGTAATGTCTCTAAGGATGCTGAATGGATGAGGAGGTGGTACATCTCAGAGAAGGTCAGTTCCTCGGTTTTCACTTCTTTTGCATCAGAATATTTTGAGCATTCTTGTGTAAAAGCTTCGTTCCATGAATCAATCGCTATCTCAGCTTGTTTTGCATTGTGTGTACATATCTCTAAAATTTCATCTGCTTGATCATCAAAAAATGCATTATTTTCTTTCCTCATGAAAAGCGTAAGACAATTCAGTAAATCTAAAAGCAATTAGAATGAAACCAATCAAATACAAAATCGATGCAGTAGCCTCTTTTTGATTTGATTTGTAGGTTTCATTTAGTACTTCAAAAAGTGTTTAATGTCTACTAACAGTTTGCCTTTTCACTAGTACTATACTAGGTTACCCATGGGTAGAAATGCTGCCTGAAAGCACGATGTCAGTGTTCGGGTTGCCAATCTCGTTCCCACGGAAATTCACTACGAAGGATCCTGTACGAAGGCTGTTTATAGCTTAATCTATTTCCTAGTTGAATTTTTAATATTTTATTTAATCCTTGACCCCAGTGTTTGCTATTTTGGTTGCTATTTACTTATGGAGTAGTTTGTTCGATGATCTATGAACCCTTTGTAAAATTTACCTGTTATGGTAGTGCATGTGGTTCAAAATTTATCTCTGCCAATTTACTTTGGATTTTAGATAGTTGCGGAGATCTACATATTGAAGATTTTATGATGCGATTAAGTTCTCGGACTGTTTTTAAGACATCTTCATCCGCCTGGCATGATAATGGAATATGCAATGGATAATTTGCAATATTGCTTGTCATTCAGCTACTACAGATTTATTCTGTAGTGATGCGAAATAGCAGCGTGGCTAGAAGTTTGCCTGCGTGAATTAAGCATCGTCACTAAATTAGTTCTGACGCACATTTCGATACTATACATTTACGTGGTTTGATAGAAAACGTATGGCAGAATTCGAGTATATAAGTTGCCAATATGTCGGCCGGCCAACCTATAGAAATTGTTGGCGCATTCACATGTTGATATATCGCCTGCTTTGTTGATATATCGCTTGTTGCCAAGGATCGATAGATCAAAAACATTATCATGGCCAATTCGTTATCTTGAAGTACATTTCTGGCGTTTTCAACGCTTCGAATCTCTACACGAATAATAAATTCGTTGGAATATTTAGCGCGCAGACCAAGGTGGCAGTCCATAATGTGAGGTTTTACCCGATGCCTAGCCGTTTCTTGTCATGACATGTCATTTTTATCCAGCCGCAATGCGTGCAGCCACAAGTGAAAGAATGTATAAGAACTTCCAGAATGCAATGCACATAGCAAAATCAATATTTTCCCTCCTAATATATAGATTAGGAGGAGTGCTGCCTTGCTCGCTTGCTTCAGGCCTGCTTGCTGCGGCAGCAATAAAGTTGTGTTTATGTATGCCATTGAAAAAACCTTTTACCAAATTATCTTAAAATGTATATTACCAAAATTGGTCAGTTATTGTAGTCATATATGGACTTACAGTATAATCTTTTTGTCCACTTTTTTATAACAAAATAAAAACCCAACATAATGACTAATGACATTGCTCCTGAAGCCTGGTTTTGATTTCATTTAGTCATAATTGTCATGAACAAGTGATTTTCACTGATGAGAAATAGTTTGGATGTAAATTTGTCCTTATTTTAGTAATTAAATGGTTATGCTGACTGAACCATACAAAAGGCATACATAGAAATATTCTATCACATCAGCCACCTTTACATGCATGTATGAATGTTGGTGTGTTGGTCAGCTTAAAATATTTTAATGATTTAGCCTGTGGTGCAAGTGTGACCAATGGATACAATTGCAACAAGCACAAACCCTACAGATACAGTTTGAAGAACCATCCCACTCCCATCACCAAGTCATAATTTCAAGTTGGGTCATGTACTGATTGAAATTGTGCAAACTGCACAACCATGAGTTAAAAAAAATACTAGTAAGTAGTAAATATATAGAAGACATCAAAATTTTGTGCCCGATACTTTCCACACTAGGGTCAGATCACAACTACAATGTATAATTGAGGTTGCATTATACTTGCATGAAACCCAGTAGTTTATAGCAAAATGTAATAAAAAATACCCTCTTCCAAGTAGGCTGGCAAATTGTGATAATTCACAATTCTCTTCGTCAATTCATTCACTTTTGAAACATCAGCTGGGATTGTTACATTTGTCAGAAACTTACACAACTTGTCCTCATTCACAAACTCAAAACTAAATTCCTTTGTTAAACCAGACATCCTGATTGCATTATCATTCATATGCACAAAAACATTGCTACTAATGTATTTTTTCCTGTTTTTGAGTATTTGAACATAATAACAAATTACAAATAGCTCAGTCTCATTGCTGTACCACTGGTTACCACTGATACAGTAGAACCAGAACCAACTACCATATCTGAGCCCACGACTTCATCTTCAATGGCATCTATGTCAGTGGTAACATGTACGGAGCTTCATATAGGCTTGGCGAATAAGATTTTATTTCGGCAGGGAACCTTCGTACCCAGGCTACTTCCCTCTCCGCACTCGAAATTAACCAAAATTTGACTGTGAAAATGTTGTGATATTTGTTCTGATATATTCTATGCAATTCTATGCAAGTTGTAAACCTGCTCGTTTTTTGGACGCTTTTATTATGAAAGTTAATTTTACCAGTTGACAAAACGTAAGCCGTGACATGGGTCGTCGAGGACGGGAGAAATTTAATGTTGGTTCGGCTAGTCGTAGAAGAACAGTCCTTCAAATTGAACCAGTTTCTCGCAGAAAAGAAAACGAAGGTAAAATCAATCTTTTTTTAATATTGTTGTGAATATATACTGTAAACGTTACTGTAAACGTTAAATGATTTATGTTTAGGAAAAAGCCTTTGCTGGAGACGTCGAAATTCTTGTTGTATTTTTTAGGTTAGGTTAATAGGTTTCTTAAGTCTTGAACACATGATACACATCTCCATTGGTATTTTTAAGACATGCAAGCAGCAAGCTGTACAACTTGTATTCATTACAGTTCTATGTTTTTCATAATTCCTTGCTCCAAACTTAAATATGAACAATGTTGGTTGATAAACTTTCAGTGCTCAATTTGTTAGTCACTTGGTTTTAACCACCAAAATGACATGAGGTCATTTCTCCTCAACTGATTTGTTTTGGTTTTTCATAGAAAAATGCCCTAACCCTAACCTAAAAACTAACCCTAACCCAAGTTATACTATATTTTATACCCCAAACTGCCCCAAACCTGTTTCACAATTATTTGACCTTAATCCTAATTGCTTGGTCAAATGGTACAAATCAGGGTCTCTAACTATATAATTATGGTTGATATTTTAAAAAATGACAAATTATTTCCTTAAAAATAGGTACTGTTCAACTGAGTTCACGGAAAAGAGAGATTAATCCAACAAGCATTTCAGGTAGGTATACACTTATTATTTGGAAGTAATGAGTTTCATTTCCATGCAGACCTTGCAAAATTCTGCATTAGGGATATCCTGCATGCAAGATTGCACGAACAAACATTAAATACCAGTACTGCAATTGTCAGTGACGAAATTGTCATGCATTATCAAAGATTGCTTTCAATTTATGGTAGGAAAATGGTAGGAGAAGAATTCTATTAAAAAATTTAAAGATCTGTAATTTGGGCTTCCTATAATATAATACTTGTTTCCTGTAGTTTAATACCTGGTACTCTACTTCTTAACAACAATATACTTTGAGAACCAATTGTGTAGTTAACTTTTGAGGCAATCAATGTTATCTAAATAATCTACTTGTCTTCTAAGGTATTGGACTACTTGGTCAATATGCTGAAAACAGTGATGAAGATGAAGGTAATTTTATTATCTTCAATTTAAAATTAGAGTCTCAATACATTGTTTAAACATTTGATCAGTTAAATCATCATTGTAGAAATTTAGTCCAGTGCATTGCTCAGTTCAGTGACCTAGCTCATAGTTATTGTTATCACTGAACTCATTTGCAACTGTTTTCAAATATTTTTTGGACTTCCTATAGTTTTGTTGTCATATTTTGTGCAACTAACATTAAAGGTATTGGTATACCAACATATCATATTTCTTTGTAATCAACCAGAATAATATATCGAAATGTTCAACTAAATGTGGGCCATATTTGAAAATATTTTCTTTTTAAATGAGACAATGCTTGCATGAGTATGTCTAGGAAATAAGTGTACCGGTGGAATGTAGAATGGAAGGCATAAATGATTTAGAATCAGAAGGAGATTGTGATATAGTCTATAGCTTAAAGAAATTCAGTGCCCTTTTAAACACATTTATGCCTGCGAACATCAACTCTATTGTTATATTAAACTACTTACCAGGACTATTACAAGGATATTCTATGACAAGGTAATTTACATGTATGCCTTGAACAAACGCATTTCAGCCCGTAACCTTATTAAGAGATGTGCCATAGAGAAGAACAAAAAACACAACAAAAATCCAAACAACTTTGAAAGACTATATATAAACACAATGTGGATGGTAAAAAACATAATACCGTGTATGATTTATATATAGTCTTTGAAGTTGTTTGGATTTTTGTTGTGTTTTTTGTTCTTCTCTATGGCACAAAATTTTGTAACAAGAAAGTAAAGGTGCACTGTAATTATTCGTAAAAATTATGTGTTATTATAATTATTCGTGTGTGTTTGTGTTTTCGTTTTCTTCTGGAGTCGCTCTTTTTTTTGGTCGACTCGCGCCTACTTGTTGCGACTCGCGAAGTCCCTTATAAAGGCCTTTTAAGAGGCATTTATCCTGTATTTAGTGATATTTTACGGATGACCGTTTATGTAATCGCACCAACTCATGACTTTGTTTTTGCAGCACTAAGTTAAGTTCTAAATGAGTAGTTTTAAACATAAAATTCAGAATTCGGTATAACGAAATATAAACAGAGGGTGAAATTCTTACCCAATGGCGTTTACAACTCCTATACTCTTGTCCATAAGCAAGATACGTTCAGAGCGAAAAACCGATAATTACCTGAATCTATATTCGCATTAATTTTAGAACAGCAAGGTTCCTCCAGTGGTGAAGAGAATACAAAAGATTTAGATGAAACAAAACCTAGCGAAAACGTTCAAATTGACTCGAAACTTGATGACTTTTTCAAAGTATGTATATTAAATGTTTGAATGTTAATTGTCCTTAATAGTGCCTGGTTTCAATTTATGGTCGTGAGTGTTGTGAAAATGTCAAGATGGCTGATGTGTGTGCAGTCAACAATGACCGATTTCGATACAGAAATAAAGAATTTACATCCGGACTATTTCTCATCGGTGAAAATGACTTGTTCACGAAAATTACGATTAAATGGAAACCAGGCCTCAATTGCCCTGTCGACAAATTCTTCTCCTGCTTTATGGCTAAATAAACATACTTCGGTAACACATTTTTGCCAAAAGTGTTTTGTAGCCTGGTTAATTAAGAAGCCATAGAACTTTTACCACAATATTCGATTAACGTGCTTTGAATATTCACTGTGTTTTAAATTAAGAGTGAATATGGTGCTTCAACTCTTCACCTTTTAATATTAAACACTTTTAATTAACAATCATCGAAGTCGCCAAAGTTAAAGTTTAAAACAGCGTTATATAAAAATAGCTTATTTCTTAAACTGTCAATACGACAATATAACCAGGGAGCAGCGTGGCAGCGTCTTCAAACAAGAAGTTGAGAAGACTTCTCACTACTAATCACCTTTGTAGTGTAGTTCTTTGTAATTCTGTATATTTCACTGTGATACTTGAGACTATCAGTAGATGTCTTCACTGTCAGGAGACGGTAGCTGTGCTTATATTGAAATATATAGACAAAATTGTAAACATGCACTGCGAAAAATGCAATTCATTGACCAGTTGTATACACTCTCAACCACATTTTGGGTATAGTTAATCCATCAACATTTAATTCAGGTTCGAATATAAAGAATGATGTGCAACGCCTGAACGCCCAATCCGTAACCGAAAATTGTTTTTATAGTGAACATTAATTTGTAGTCAGTATAATAGCTAGGCTGGGGAGGTTTATCTGTTTACCGATAAAAATCGATTTTTTAAAAAATATTTTCATTCATTCGTACTGAATATAAACGATATTTTTCGCACATACGTATAGGAATTATACGAATTTTTTTACCCACGATAATGCATACAATATCTGATCTATTCGTTTCTTTTTTTTATTTTCAGGAGATAGAAGCAATAGGCACCGAAGATTCTACGTCAACGGAAGTGTCCGGTCAAACTGTAACTCGGGATTCAACAAGCCTGGAGGAACAAGCAGATGGGAGTGCAGTTTATCAAAACGTTAAAGGTTAGGCTGTGTATATGCTAGGAACATAGTAGAATAGCCATTCAAGTAAAAGATAACGAGGTGGTTTACAGTTTACAAGTTTACAGTACTATATATATAAAAGAACAGACTTTCATGTTTTTCATAAGCAGATGAAAAGAACACTTACAAGTTACAACAGCCTACCGTAAATGATCGATTAAGCGCCGCTACTCGAATAAGCGCCGCTGTCAATTAGCGCCGCACCTCAATAAAAAAAATTAATAAGCGCCGCTGTTGAATAAGCGCCACGGCGCCTATTTAGGAAGATATAAATAAACGCTAAAAAATGTAGAATAAACGATTCTTTATTTAAACGCGTTAATCCTAACATCTAAACTATTGAGAACGACGACCAGGATTGAAACTTTAAAGTTTTATTGTCGAATATCTCTTACAACCGGGCTCATATGACAGTTCTTATAGTTTAAAATTTTCCTTCTTCCTAATTAACTCCGTTTCTAACGCTTGGGCATGTCGTCGATTCGCCGTATATGCTGTGAACTTAGCGGGAATCACCAGCCCAACTTCGCGCTTTCTTTTTCCTGTAACCTCTACCAAAAGTTTATTCGATTCATCGGCCTTCAGAAAATAATCTATTTGCTCACTTTGAAATAAGCGCCGCTGTCGAATAAGCACCGCTGTCGAATAAGCACCGCTGTCAAATAAGCGCCGCGTCTTTAAATCGATATTTGCAATAAGCGCCGCGGCGCTTAATCGATCATTTACGGTAGTCTATACTAGATGTTTTGAAAAGAAATGCGATTTCTCTCTAATCTCCAGAGGGGAAAACTGGAAATCTCAGGATGATTAATTTTGTGGCGACCATCTTTTTGAAACATCTAGCTATATGAGAAAACGGATATGTTCTTAAGTCTGTAATAATTATTATGTATGTGTGTGGAAAATGTTATTGGCCTGGAGAGTTGTGCAGTTTGATCTTAAGCATTATAATTAACTAAACTATGTAACTTCCAGACTACGTTCTGCCTGAACCATGGCAAGAAGTATGTGATCCAACCACAAACTATGTCTACTATTGGAATACGCTGACCAATGAAGTGTCCTGGGAATTGCCACATATTTGTGGGCCTACCGAGATGCAAATATCTACAGTGGAAAATGTGCAACAGTCTAGTCTATCAGGAAATCAATTAGTTCAGGATAACCAAGATGAATATCAATCATCTTCAAGCGATGAAGAAAATACCGCTGAACCTAATGATAATACCATGCAAACTGCTGATCACGCTGAAGGTGTACATAAGGTTGCTGTTGAACTAGAGGAATCACCAATCCTGGGAACAGCCATTATACTTCCCGGTAGCACATCAGGGCTAGCAAAGAGGGAGATAGCAAGTTCATCGCCTGATAATCTTATTGCTGAACGTTTGGATCAGAATTTGAATAATACGTCTTTAAAATCGAATGAACAGTGTGAAGGTCTAAAACCTGAATCCTTGAGTATATCCCGTAAACGTGAAAGATCCGAAGAGGTGGATATATTTGAGGCTATAGCAGACGAGGGGGACGATAATAGTAAAAGTATGTAGAAAATAATATAGCTGGTTTTAGCTCGTTTTTTTGACAGAATTTTCGGTGAAATGGAAATTTATGCGTTATATAGACTAATTTTAGATCTGGGCGACAAGGAAATATATTACCACAGCTAGAAAAATCATACTATGATTAGTAGAATGTGGAAATATATAGCCATGCGAACTTGGCAAATTTTGTATACTTTGTATTTCGTGCCGAAATGTGTAACTCATCAGTTACCGGCCGCAGTGCATGTAAAAGTATACAAATTTTGCTAACTTCGTATGGCTATATATGTTCCGTGCTTTACAACATTTCGCAGCCAAGATAAAAAACTCTATAGCGTGTAAAGTCCTTTGTCGATAGTGCTATCTTCGTTGGTGTATAGTTATTTTCAGGCTTGTCCTCGTGACTCGCGTTTCGTACATTGTGCCATGATTCCCGGGGAGGCATTGTCTCAGATAAGATGTCTTACAAATAAAATATATATGAGTAATTCTTTTCGATTCAGTTATTATTTATCACGCGAGAAACCGTCCGTCGATTACTTTCCATCGAAGTTGGGATAAATTTGCTATCCATTTTTTTTTAATTTAGAGGAACAATCGTCAGAATATTGGGATGAAGAGAAGAGAAAAAACGCTGTCGGTGAAGAAATGCCTGAATACAATCCTATGCCAGATAATATTTCACCCAGAAATTCAACCGATGAACAAGATGACGATAAATCAGTTGATGTTGAATCGGATGGTGAAGAAAGAAAAAAATGCGACAAGTCTAAAAGGTACTTGAATGTAGATATTGAGTATTGTTCTTCGGTATATTGCAAGCCGTAAATTTAAGGTCAGTATATATCATTACATTGTTATGGGTGATTTCAATATTTTTGGGGTTTTTGGGGACACCCTAGCTGTATATGTGTATAGAATATAGAGCAACATTAGCATAGCACTATTAGTATTGTATTAAAGAATTAGCATATGAAACTGGGGTGGTAGGGGACGAATTTAGGGTTGTGTATAGGCAGAGGTAAAAGAGAATATTAAGTCACTTTGAGGAAAGTGGAATATACCTCTGATGGGTGAATTTAATGTTCCCCTTGTTATACTGCATGGTAAAATGGTTTAAAACACTATATAAGAAGACAAAGATGAAGGAAAATTTACTTCATAGAATTTATTTCAATTCAGTTTTCTTAGATTCCAAAGTCATAGAAATTGAAGGGACAGTTTAGTTTCAACTTTTTTTAATTGAGTGAATATATTTTTCGTGATAATTGCTAGCAGCTCTTGTATATATACAATTTGTAGGAAAATTTGTTGGGGAAAATATTTTCTTGCGCTATCAATCATGCATGAATCACGTTTTCATGAAACGCTATAATAATTGCTGTATGGTTTTAAGTATTTGACATAACGTTACACAATGCACAAATAGTATATAATCTATTACAAGTTTTAAAATTTTTGTCTGTTATTAAACAGGCCTATGTTGGATGACATCAATAATGATGATACTGATCCCATCGTACCGGCAAAAAAGGTGAAAGTTAATGAAGAGAACGATGAAGACGAGTCCGAAGAGGATTTCGCGGAAAAGCTTTTGGAAGGTCTTTCAATGTGTTCAGTGTTCTTGCGAATTTCGATAAGTGAATCTGAAGTTGACTGCATGCACCAGTCCTAATTTTACTGATCAAATCTGAAAACCCAAGTCAGATATATAAGCTATATATATATATATATATATATATATATATATATATATATAATATATATATATATATATATATATATATATGTTTTCATTCCACTCAGTGCCATAACAGTTATTTAATGCCACAACTCAATCTGACCAGCTTTAATTCTAGTCAAATCACTGATCTGACCCAGCTGATAATACACTGGATATAGCAACTATATGTACCTACGAAGATCGAGAGCTATATCCAGTGTGTAATCAGATCAGTGAAATAGATGGGTTAACATCAATCTATTGCTCTGTTATATGTGTAGAATTTTTCGAGGGTAAAGCTGGTGATAATGTCACCTCTGGGGATGACATGGACGTAGAGAGTGATGAACAGCAGGATCTTCATGGACCAAAGTCCCTACTACCGCCCGAAGCATTTTTACCTAACCAAGCAGATAGACTTGTTGAAGAGGGTAGTGCTTCGCCTGCTGGTAATCTAAAATAAAATCAAACGAAACAAAAATCAAAATCAAAAACCGCAAAATGAGAACATTTTCTAATTTTATCTGATTTATATTTAGATGTTTCTCGATCACGAGTTAATGTCGATAAAATTGCAGAAGAGGAAAATCAAAAATTAACGGTAAACATCTTCGGACACACACACACACATATTTAGTTTTATTACAAGTGACAATGCATTATCACTTTTCTTACCATTTTGAATATCGTGAAAATTAGCTTTGAAATTAAACCTATATTTTACTCACTGCCAAAGATTGAAAGCGATTGTCGTCCCCATTCCAGTGAAACCGTGACATTAACTGCATATTGATGTGCTAAAGCATCGTTAATCCAAAGTTCGACGTGATATACCCGATTACCCCGACCTGCTTGTTTTTCTATAAACTAAACTGCATTTTTCACGATAGACTGAAATCCACGATCTTTGTCAGTTGTTGTCCAACAAACTGGAATTCCTCAACATTAACAAGGATGGTGTGAACAAGCTATTGATAGTATTAATACAAATGGAGGTAAGAAGAATGGAGCTAAAAACAATGTTTATTGAAACATTTCTGATTATAATCACGTAATATGCACCTCGATTTGGTTTAAAAATTTTATTTTATAAATAAATGTCTACTGCATGCTCTTTCATTTACCCCTTTATGTGGTCATGAAGGCCTTCTAGTGATGGTTTTTGTTGCCTTTGCTACTCACGTGATTATTTGACAAACATTCACCTAGAATAATAGTATCGTATGAGTTTGTTCCTCCCCCAATTAATATTTGTGATTCAATAAGAAACAATCCGCACCGCTGGCGTCAACATGTTGATTTCCTGCCCGACGTATTTCATCACTGATAATTTCATAAAAGTAGATAGGCGGAGCGTACCACCAAATTTATACAAAATAACAATCTCGGAACACATCCCATCACTAAAAATGTGACTACAGCAAGGCATTGCGCAGATTATAGCGTTATATATGCACTGAAGAATAAGGCTATATCTATGTAGATCATACATTCTACTGACTAACACCACCAAACTGATTTATGAGATTTAATAGGTTCTACAGAGCATTTAGTGTCCAGATTTATAAATTAATGCAGGTCACACTCTGAAGTAATTTCAGTTTTGTTTGTCCTTTGAGATTTTTAACCAAAATTTTCAAGTGCTGTGTAATCTCAAAAATCTAGAGTTGACAAAACCGTATGGCAATTAAAGTCAATTGAAAACTTTGCTAACACATCCATTTAACAGCTAAAACAATAAAAGTGTACGCACATACAGCTGATAAATCAATTATATAACAGTTTTACATATATTCACTCTGTCTAAACGACAGGGCAGACAGCGACATAAAATCCGTGTTTGCACTTAACTCATGGTTACCTGGTATGATTGTGCATTTTATGCATGCATGTATATAAATGAGCGAGCTATACAAGATCATGCATGATGTACTTCTTTAGAGAGGTGATAGTGAAGGGATCGTATAACTTTTATGCTGTTTTCATCTCTTTATGTAGACAAGAATTAAAGATTGGCGTGAGGGCAATCTCAGCAGCGCATATATGGTGAAAAAACTACGCGATGCAGCCGAGGAATTAAAAAGTTATGAACAATCGGCTATACCACAAGGATGGAGCTGCAATTGGGACAGGTACTGTATTTCATCGAGTAGAACTTCTATCAGTCAAGCAATTTTTTTTCAATGTGAGACCTTTCGGGTTAAAGGAAGTAATTTTGGATCACTAAGAAATTTACATGTGGTCGTAACCGCATTGGAAAGTCGCTTTTTGATTTTTCAACTCATGTTTGTAAATTGTATGGCCAAAATTAAACTTGCGTGCGAAGTAGCTCAGATTGAGTTCCGTTCGCTTCTATATAAAAAAATAAATTGGATTTGTTCGAAATTATTCATTCTTCACATTGTATATGGCGGACTTTTTTAATGTTCAACCAGCTAACAATTTTTTTTTCAGCAAAATGAATAAGTATAATAATACGAGCTCGACATGAATCTTAGGCTAGATTTCAGCTAATATATAAGTACATCAATGTCAATTACCTTTCCCTTATTACAATTAACATGCAGTATTGGCTTCGCGTTAATCGGGAACAAATATATATAGCTGAGGATACATGTCAAATTATATGTCAAATTACATGTCTACTAAGTTGGGCTTTACTTGATATGCAAACCCTGAGAACGTCAACTAATTTCTACACCGTGGTATTAGTATATGCATTGGAACTTTGAGTTTTGGAGTAGAATAGAACACATGAAGGTTATCGGATACTTCGTGCATTTTCAAAAGCAGGTTATTCTTTGATGTTAAATGTTTTTTTAACATATAAAAATACTCCCTAAGACAGTTTCTGCGAGATCAAGAACCAAGTAGTTCATTTTAGGTTGATTATATCTGGCTAATGGAGTGTATTCAAACTTAAAAAAAAAACAATACAAAGAACTGAAGGAATGCAGCTGCTTCAGTAATCAGTATAATGTGGTCGATACTTTCATTGCATTAGATGTTATTATTTATTAACCGTCAGTCTCATTTAGCCTGCTCAATTGTGACTTGATTTTGCTTCCAAAGTATAGGACATACAAACGAACATCGAAAAATCCTTATTCGGGCAATAATTTTCCGTTTATTATACAATGCATGGTCTGGCCATTGTTACTGGCCTCGAAATTACCATCGAACCTGTTCACACATGCATATAGTTTGTAAATTCACGTGGTCCTTTTTGGACCCGTCACCCATCGGCGCACTTCCAAGAAAAACCTGGTTTTCATCATTGTACACCGTCATTTGATGGTCTACGATCTATTGTTTGTACTCCATTTTCCATTGCATGACGGTCGAGGAATTATAGCTACGATGAATAAAACCACGTCTACATATATGGATCAATATTATATTATTATATCTTGAGTAATTAAGGCTGATTTTCATATAGTCGTAATTGTCGTGTCAAGCCAGTCAAGGTGGTTTATGTATTAGAATATTGCCATGTGTTAGCAGTGAATAAAGAGAATACAGAGAGTAAAGAGAAATTTCCAATAGTTAACATGCACCAAAGGACTTATAACCTGATTAACGAACGAAACTTACGTTAAGATCATTGTTCCCTATTGCATGGCTGGGACTGCCAAATTCGTTCGTTACCGTAAAATCCCAGGCCCTCATTGGTTGAACATTTAGTGTCAGGTATGATATATTCATAATCGAAAATAAGTTTGCAGTTCTGTTTTGCATAAGTTCTTTCAACGCAAGTTGAATGCTTAAAATATATTCTAATCTTAAAACGCTTTTAAGCCTGTTTACACTTGTCTGGGATTCCCTTTGGGCTTTGTCCTCAGACAAAGTTGACCGCTGGTGTGCAAAATGCTTTTCTGAGACTATCGGAAAGTAATACAATGGATCCCCGATTCTTAGGAGCCAGTGTGATCCCAGGCCTTACACTGATCGATCATTATATATAGCTTATGCATGTACATTCAAGTTCATTTGACATTATGTAGACCCTAAAATTCGCTCGACTTCATGGATTACCCTGCGTCCTCTCATTGAAGGCAGTAAAACTTTTAGTTCTATACTAGAAGTTCATCTATTCTCGCAGCTTGGTAATTTCAACTAAATAAATGTTTGTTTGTAAAAGACTGCTTTATATTTCCATATTTATTGTGTTGAGAGAGCATGTCCCAAAGGACTAATAGTCTTGATTTATCTTATGACATGAAAATTTACACCGGCATTGCATGCGAGTTATAATTGTTTTCTAACATTTCACAATGTTGTGCTTGTTTCGCGACCATCATATAAAAATTAATAGTGTCAGGTGCAGGTATATGGGATGCTTTTTCGACAATCCTATGCTACAAGATTTATGGAAAATACCGAAAATATAACGAATTTTGAAAACATTGCAATCGACTATTTACTTTTAACGAACATCAACATGCTTGCATGCATACATCGTCTCATTTGCAATTATTATACATCTAACCAATCACAATTAGAACTTTTACGTTCGTACATTTGCATAACTGAATATAACGTCGCTTACGGTCTTCGGTGCATGTTAACTAATTGGACTACTTCGCATCGGTGAAAATGGCTTGTCTAACAAACCGTTTTCTGTCCTAAATTTTGAAGGTCCATTTATAAATATGGTGGATGGTTATTTTTGCTCAGAAAGACTGAGAGGTTGCATGAGTAGATCCTAGAAAATACAGTCAGTGCAGATGGTTTGATCTGCAAGGGTGTGACATTAGCATGCTGCTGTTTTTTAATCAAAGGTTTCGATATATATATTAATATATATATAAATATATATATATATATATATATATATATATATATATATTTGCTCTTTTTGGATGTCTATTCGGCCTATTCCTCGGCGTTGATTGATTTGTCGTGTTGATCCAAGTCCGGGAACGATTATTGAGTGGTTATTCATTTCATTAAACGCCGCGTTTACCATGCACGTCAAAGAAAATTTTTGGTAACCCTTACCAGGTGAGTTAGGTAAAGAGATTAAAGTTGGCCTTTGGAATGACATATATTGAAGAAAGAAAATAAATGGGAGTAAGTATATAGGCTAAGCTATGTTGTCAACACTGAATTTTCCATATGAAATAATATCGTTCGTTAAAATTATGTGTGCAAATTTGGCATATTTTTTAAACCTGGGTTGACAACTTAGCGAAAAGTGTATGGGAAATATTTAGGATTTTAGTCCATGTGTTTAAGATAGAGGTCATTTATACTAGAATTATGCTCCTGCATTTGTATATAAATATAGCGTATTGATTCGGTAATCCTGCTGGAACATGGTTGGATCTCTTCAAACACCTCAAGTCCAGTAGGAAATGTTAAGTATGCACATGCAAACATTTTCTTTTGGACCTTGAAAAGAATTAATCCGGCCATGGTACTTTTGTTTCAAAAGCATAAATGTTTCCATCAATGTTTGTGTCTATAAATACCTTAGTTTCTGTAGTTTGCCCTGTGCGTTATTTGGGTGTTAATTGTTCGTTTTATTTTTCTTCTCCTTCTCAGCACTTATAAGAGATATTTCTACACAAACGACAAAACTGGCGAATCACAATGGGATTACCCACAAACGCCGTCTGAGACGTTTCCAATTGAAAAACAGAAAGTCGTATCAGGTAATTTTAATGGTGATCATTCGTCAATTTTATATTGAATATTCTTTTTAACTGCATGTGGCTTCTTTGGGCACTCGCTGTGTTTACAGGGTGGTTCCAAAGATCTGAAAACTATATTGAAATAATCTTTTATACATCTATAAATTTATGCAGAAACTAACATAAAAGAAAGCTCGTCGTCGTACAGCGTGTCAAAGTCTTCTATAGAAAGCCATATATATCACCCAAATATCCTTCAAAACGCTACATATCCAGTTGTAACAGTCTCTCCGAGTACCTCTGTTTCAACGCATATTGGTCCAGGTAAATGTGATTGAATACAACTCTATATATATTTTCCTACGTGCCTTCTACCGCGCATCTCTTTCAAATGAACGAGTCAATTTTATACAAAATTAAATTATGATGTTTTTAACAGGAATCTCCAGCTTTGGATTGTCCATGAATGAAACCAACTGCAATATGTTCTCGAGTACTGTTAATCCTGATCCTAACAATGCAAACGTATATCCAGCTTTTCAGCCGACGCAAAATCCGATTCCAACTGACGTCACAAAAGGTCTGTAATAGATATACGCGCTGAAATATCTCAAGAGCAAGTGGACTTTCGAGAATTGATTCCCTTGAAACCCCTGAAAAATCCCTAAAAACCTGTATGTCTATAACCTTGCATTCCGGTTTCAAAGACTACATCCAAAAGCTCACTCATAACTGCTGAAGTGGGATATCTCAATCTCCACTTCTTCTCATAACGGTATTTTCAGTCGAATAAGAGCTGATTTTCAGTGTTTTTCCTAATATACCTTAAATCCTTCCACTGATTAATAATAGTAATTACACTGAGTGGAGTGCAATTTGGTGTGAAATCAAACGCGTGATTACAAAACTTGTAATCAAAAGTTTGATTTCACACAAAAATTGCACGTCACGAAGTGCAATTTCCACTTTATTATATTCATTTTGAAATCATACAAAAAATTAAGCAAATTCAAAACGATTTATTGGCTGAAAGAACCGTAAACGGTGTAAAATTTGAGTAATTTTCATCTATTTTTGTCAAGAAATTTTGCAGCGCATTTAAAAATTCAAAATAATATAAAAATTTTGTGACATTTTCCCCTGTAATTTGATTGAATATTTACACTGAAATACCAAATCTGATTGGTTATAGTGCTGCAGAGCTTCAATCTTATTGGCTTTTACTATATAATATGCAGTGTTAACATACGAATAATATACGAATCCGCAATCTCACTCGTTCGATATCACTCTCAACACTCGAAATAAATTCCATATTTCGGCGTATCCATGTATTATTCCCTCTATAAATGTTGTGATTATAAATGTTGTGATTAATCCTCAAAAATAGTGCGATTTAGGAATTTATTATATTCATTTAGAAATCAATGGTGTTTCTTGCAATTTGATTGGTTAAAAATAGTCTGATTAATTCCCAAATCGCACTATTTTTGAGCATTAATCACATCATTTATAAGCCAATGAGATTGAAGCTCTGCACCACAATAACCAATCAGATTTAGTATTTCAGTTAACTATCCAATCAAATTACTGGGGGAAATGGAACAAAATTTTATTCTGAATTTTAAATGCCCCGCAAAATTTCTTGACAAAAATAGATAAGGATTACTCGCATTTTACACCGTTTACGGTTCTTTCAGCCAATAAATCGTTTTGAATTTGTTTAATTTTTTGTATTAATCACACTATTCTTTGTATATAATAAAGTGGAAATTGCACTTCGTGTCGTGCAATTTTGGTGTAAAATCAAACGCGTAATTACAATTACAATTGTAATCACGCGTTTGATTTCACACTAGCTTGCACTCCACTCAGTGCAATTACTATTATTAATCACACTATTTTTAACCAATCAGATTGCAAGAAACACCATTGATTTCAAAATGAATATAATAAAGAAAGTTATTGTTTGGAAATAACAAAATTAATATATGTCATTGGTCATGCCTCTTACAGACGAGCAAGTTTTCTATGACAAGTTTTTATGTGACAAGTTTTAATTGTTTGTCTGTATACGCCCAACTTTGACAATTTTTTCTATGACAAGTACACTTGTTCAAGAAGTCATAGAAAAATTGTGCAAATTTGTTCGTCTGTATGAGTCAACAAAAAAAACTTGTCATATAATGTGAGCACTTGTATGCGGTTGGCCAGCGGACTTTATAGTATCCTCATTATCTGAGAAGAATTCAAAATCCGTACCGGAAGAAGAAATAGGTCAAATAAGACCTTGAGGGGAGGTGTAACGATAGCACAGGTGGTCACGTGCCCCAGAGGTACTTAAGGGCAACGCCTCATGTAAACTGTCGCAAACAAGCTAGAACGCGGCAGAAAGTGGAAAGCCGGTCGATTAGACTAACGACTCTAATGCTGATGTCCAATCGGCGCTTGGGGCCAACGTGGGGGGGGAGGGGGAAGACAAAAATACAAAAAAAACCGCTTTTGTTAGAGCCCTTCTTGATGGCTTTGTGTTTCAATTATTTAGCAAGCGTTGCTTTCATTTGATATCCAGTTGACCAGGGCAAATGATTCAAAGTGTCACTCAAGCAGCATAAAATGGTGTGCAATTGCCGGGCGTTCCCTCCCCTTTGTTGGCCCCGAGGCTCCGTCGAGGGAACGTAGTTTGACCTCACTTGATCAGCTTCGTTTTCGCGACCCGTCTTGGTTGCGACCGGCGCACGCTGGCAAACTGATCGCGGTTTTAAGGTCATTGGTACCATGCAAACCTCCACATCGACCGCGCCCCACCAACTAGGATGTTCAAGTTTAGGGATATTTTCTGAGTTTTGGGAGGAGACATGTTCGATAAGGCGTGGGCATGTGCAATTGTGTAATAAAAGAGTGTGGTTAATGCATTGTTCAGTAAGGACGCGGAAGTCGCATTCGCGGATTTCTGACCCAGAACTCTATCCATCCGCGTACGGTTGAATTCAGACAAAAGGGTAATGAGAATGCTATAGTATTCTCATTATCTGGGAAAAATTCAAAATCCGTACCGGAAGAAGAAATAGGTAAAATGAGACCTTGAGGGGAAGGAATAACGATAGCACAGGTAGTCACGTGCCCCAGAGGTACTTAAGGGCGACGCCTCATGTAAACTGTCGCAAACAAGCTAGAACGCGGCAGAAAGTGGAAAGCCGGTCGATTAGGGAAAAACTATCACCCACCTCCCTGTAGGTCAACAGTAATCCCCGTTTTCAGATGGTACCCTTCAGCCGTTCGCGGATTTTTGACCCAGAACTCTATCCATCCGCGTACGGTTGAATTCAGACAAAAGGGTAATGAGCGAGAATGCTATAGTATTTTGCAATGGCGCGCTTACGTTGTCCGCTGTACGATTACATCGCTGGCTGCAAACTAAAATGTCAAACAAACTTTGTTTACTTTGGTAAACAAAGCAAATAAAACTTGTCAAAGAAAAACTTGTCATAGAAAATTTTGTTGTGCATACACGCGTGCAATTGCCAATTAAAACTTGTCATATAAAAACTTGTCATAGAAAACTTGCTCGTCTGTAAGAGTTTTCTCACTCGTGAGTGCGAGTGAGGTTTTTGAATACAGGCGATAGTCTTTGAAACGGGAATGTTTGCTATGTGACGCATAGATTGGACCGATTATAGATTAGTTTTTCAGACTTGCATGCATGTCCGCTGAAATACTGCATCAGCTTTCCTAGAAGAGAGGCCCCATGCATGTAGAAGTATAATAAATACTTTTTTGATTTTTTACCCCGAGAATTTTTGTAACTCTATTTACCAAAATATAATCTGCAACTTTAGGGCTAAGTTTGCAAAAATATCATTGTTATAGACTTTCGGGGTTCACGTCGGGGTTCGAATCTTTAGTCGAAGAGCCTTGAGAATTTACATGCATTAAAATCTGCTACATTAAAATCCATCTGCCAAATATAAAGTTACAGGCGTTCATAAAGTTAAAAACACGCAATTTTACCAGGTCATATATCTATTACAATAATTACAAGCAATAAATGATAACTACCAGGAAGATATAGGTTACTGGAATACAAAAGCATTTTTAAATTTTTAAATAGAGTATATTTAAAAAAATTATATTGGTGTGCTTTTTATGTGGTTTTTGGGGGGACATATGCATGTAATTCTCTATTTAAATTTTTGTTTTATCGAAATAAAAAAGTATATATTCCCCAAAACTTGGCACGTACACTTTGTCTACGATATGTAAATAGAGCTCGTATCTAAAAAGCATTCTATAACTTAGATCCCTATAGACTCGACGATGACAGCCCTCCTGCACCCGGAAGCACCACAGAGCATGGTATGTAAATAGTTTGATTTGATGTATTTGTGACCATTTCTTTTATTTTGTGGCACACCACGCAGTAATGATTTTAAGTTTATCATTATCTAGAGGTCACACCAACGCCTCCGGGATCGTCTTCACCCCCGCCACTTCCAAACGATTTGGAAACGATCGCCCCACCACCCCCACCACAGGAACCACCTCCTGTTTCAGAGGATTGCAAACAGTCTATCCAGTAAGTTATATTGTGAGGTTGCAAAATATGTAAAGTAGATATCACTTGATACGTAAACAAGACGCCTACCCAGGCGTTTACTCCGCCTGCAGCGAAATATAATGCGGTTAGGAAGAATGTTGCCTCTCAAGCAAGGTTTTCAAAAGCATAGTTCTTACAGTTTATAAATCATCAGCAGTACGCTCTATTATACTAAAATGCAAAATCTAAAATTCCTTAGATCGCTCTGAAAATTTCAATGACATTCATCATAGAATATAGCAGCAATTACTCATTTAAATTTTTGGGTGCAAGCATAGAAAAGCGAAGGATAGAAGTTCGCCAATATTTTTATTACAGTTCCGCCATATATGCATGTGTAAAACGTCAAAGGTTTGACGTCAGATTATCCACAAATGCTACGTACGTGTATCTATTATCAAGGAGCGCGTTTAAATAAATTATTAGCATCAAATGTGGTAAAACAACTGCCTATAATAGACAGAAAAAAATTCTCGACGTTCCACCTAAGGGCCTTCGTCAGGGGAGTTAGTCGAGCAGGTTTTTGTCTATTTTAGGCAGGTGTTATACCGCATTTGATGCGAATTTATTTTGTTAAATACGCTGCCACGCTGTTTCATGATTATAGGTTTGACATTTTTGCGATAAGCTAGATTTTTAAGTTCCCTAAAAAAGAATCGATCCCAAGGTCTCTATATAGCACCAACGCCTTAATCGCCGAGCCATTAGGAAGCTATCTTACCTCATTCTATAATCAAATTTGGTTTTATTACCTTTTAGAACTGAGCATGTAGATAAAGGCGGCAAGATAAAGGCAAGACCTTGATAGATTACTCCGACCTTGTTATGGATAGTCCACCTCATCTAACCAACGTTAATGTAAGCGCACCTCTGGGGCTTTATCTGGTGTACATTTGTAATTAATTTTTTCTTATAGCCGAAAATGTTGGTTGCGTTTCCTTTTGCGAATGACTATGGCTTCACGGAAAATCTTAATTAATCAGAATACAAAATAATTAATAGAATAATCAATCATACTATAGGCTAATTATTAAAATCAGTCTTCTAGACCAGGTTGTACGAAAGGTGCATGCATAAAAGGGCTATCCACCGAATTGTAATTTTTTAAGTGAACCGTCAATTTAAGAATACCATGGTTTTAACAATTAAGGAAAACCACTATGGATAAACCGGTGGATGTAGCGCTATCCGCTTTCGTACAACCGGCCTTTGCATTCTACTTTTTGATATTAACCCAAGATTTCTATATTTTATCGTATTCCTTCCTCTTTATTCCTTTTTAGAGTCAAGGAAGTCGGAGTTCAGGATCATCTCCTGTCCCTGTGCAGCCAATTACGAAGCAAAAAAAGAAAAAGGTTTTTCAATTGATACTCTTAACTGTTATTATATGAAAATATAATATGGATGCTATAGTGGGTTATAATATCCATACTAATATCAATTTCCATACTATCGGCACATAGTATGGAAAAACTATGGGTGCATGTAGTCTATTTCCACAGTATGGATGGTGAAAAAGATTCCAGTGTATTTGCGACATAAGTTCACTTCCTGGACCTTCATTTTTTGGTGGGCAATAGACAGACGACGCATTTTGAAATTTTTAGTTAAGACCAAAATTCATATAATTCGTGACAAGTCAAACTGTATCAATACCATTAATTATACATATATAGTATATGACTTGTATCTATTTTGTGACAATATGCCTTTGTTAATCTAGTCGAAATCGTCTGGCGCCATTCGAACTTCCAAAGTAAAACAGATGTCGTCATTAGTACAAAAATGGCAAGCTATCAAAAGGCAAGAGGAGGTTCTGTCTGAAGACGAAAGTGATGAGGAACATAGCGCAGCTAAAAATGAAGCACAGATAGAACAGTGGCGACAGGAACAAATCAAAAGGTAGTTTCTACTTGTCTCATAATCGTCAGAATTTAACGTTAATTTCGTTTGTTTAGCTAACGTTCACTTTGAGAATTGCAATATGCACGAACAATGGCTAATGTAATTATTTATGCAAATTTGCCATGACTGGAATTAATGAACTAAAGATTTCGCTCAAATAAGACCTCGTCCTAATAATTTTAGTGGCGGCTTTTGAATATCTACATCTAAAGTACGAATTGCAAAGTAAAAACCAAAGTAAAAAAAAGAGAGTATACTGTCAAAAAAACTTCCAAAAAGAGACCAAAAGAAAATGACCGTTCTGTATGCATACAAGCAACATAATAACTTCATTGTCAGTTTTTCATTAGCCTACAAATACAGTAGCCTACAAATAGGTAGCGCAGATATTCGTGTTTTTAATACACTGGTGGTCAAAAAGAACTGCTCAAATGTTGCTATTGTCGTATGTAACAGGAATCGTAACAATCAATCTTTTATTGTACACTAACGGTCAAAAAAAAATGTTTAGATACAAATTCATAACGAAGAAGCGAATATAGGAGAGAGCTTCATAGGCATTTTGGATAATTCTCTTATTCCAAGCAATATTTCAGTAGTGTAATGCAACCTGCCACACCTCCCAGATAATCAAACAATGGTTTCATGGGAAGAGGGAGTGACAGAAATGAATTGGCCTGCAGTCAAAATAACTTAACCCTATTGAAAATCTGTGGGACAATGTCAAGGGGATAGCCCAAGAAAGGAATTCATTCATAAAGCATCCATGATTTATGGGTTGCTGTAAAGACTGTCCATAGGATGAATTTCTTTTGACCGCTCAAGATTACCACCTTAACAAAAAGTATGCCACGCCGGTAAGTCCGTCATCAATTATAAGGCCAAAGGAGGGTCAACAAAATATTAATATTTCATATAGCTTAGCATGTAATCTAGTCTATATTTACTCGTATATATTGTTGGAGGGACAGTTACGTTCATTTAAAGCATTTGAACTTGTTTTGAGCAGTTCTTTTTGACCGCCAGTGTAATAATTACAAATCATTTCTGAATCAATAACAATTTAATTTAATCCATTTGGGTGTTATAAAACAAATGATGACTGTTTTCATTGTACTGGAAAGAATATTTTATAATAGCAAAATTGCAATTTCTTCCTTATAGTGGGATGGCCGTAGACAATCCAAATTTTGAAAAGATTACAGGGGACTGGCGTGAACGTGTACGTAAGGCGAAATTACGTGCTTTAACCGATACTAAATAGTCCAAATATGCATTCCATTCTGTAATGAAGAACATTACTTGTATGCGAACTTTTTTTTTCATTGCGCTCATGCAAGCATTCAAATTACATATATGTTATTTACCGGCTGTGAGGTCAGGATACAACGGCCGGACGTTTTTTTGAGACCGAGGGGAAATATTTCTCTATCCGGGCCGAGCAAAGCGGTAAATAACGTATTTATTTTTCTTACAAAAAGTAGCGTTCGGTCGTATTATCATTGACATTGTGTAGTCAGCCTCATGCAGCAATGGCGACAAAAACATAACCAATCAAAACCTGAACTGGTTAATTTACTGAATTTCACTTCAATTAATCGTGATAATCATTTGGTCCATACATTTTAAAAATCTTCAGAAAAACAAAACAAATACGCTTTCGGTGGAGCATAAAGTATAGTTTTGGAACGTGATCAGATATCGTAAAATTCCGCCCGCTGCTACAACCAATCAGATTGCAGGAAAGGCTAGGATTCCTCCCACTGCTGATTTGTAAAAAAATAAAATAGGATACTTTCTGGTTTCCTTTTTTGTGAAATGAAAAATATAAAAGAAACGTTAACTTGTGTAAAGATGTACAGTATACAATATAGAATATTATTTAATCTCTGTAGAATATTGTAAGTCATGTAAAGCCTTCCAGCAACCATATGAATGAAACTGGTTAGCGAATTAAAGTTTTTTAGAAGTCGAATTGTGACGGCACTTTCCACCGTCGTATGGAACTCCAGATTCAGGGCCTTGAATGCCTAGGTTCTTAACTGATTTATACATAGTTCAATAAAGGCATAAAAAAATGGCTAGTATATCCACCATGCCTTAATTCCAATGTATATGGTCCGACTGCGTGATCCAGGTTCGTTTATATATCGATGTTTCTCTAGCAATAATAATCATTGTTAGACTCTGAGTTGACGAGGGCTACGTATGTCTTTACCAGGGATAGGATTGCGTTTATTAGGTATTGTGTGTAAAAAAACTAATATTACAGCTGCTATAGTTATGTATGTGCAAGAAAATGATTAAATGAATACATGCATATGCACTTCCTACAACAGCGTGTCATTAGTCTTGGTTTAAAATTTGAGAAGTGTTTGAAAGTCACGAAAAATACACCACCTAAAAGATACACCGCCCAAACTGAATACACCTCTCAAAAAGCGTCGTTTTTCTAAAAAAGGACAGTTGAACTCTAGTGAAAAACACGTTTTGCATGGAAACGTACAATGTTTACCTTATTCTTTTTGGGAGATCAAGAAAAAGTTTTTCTTCTGCACGGTAAAACTTATTCAATATACATTTTACATTTATTGCATGTAGATGTACTTAGATTTAGATCCAAGGAAACTTATAGATTGTTTATCAATTGAAAAAACACACTTCGTAAATTTTTGCTTTCCTTTTTCAGAAGCGCAAATAAGTGACGTTTCCGTCGTTTCGTTTTGAACTAAAGACGTCGTATAACCAATAACATTCAATGCAGCAAAATGCATCAAACATCAGCCAGGCATAAGACCGATATATGCATGCGTATGCACCCCTGACCCCTTCTAGCGACGGTCGTGAGTAGATGGCATTCTTTGTGCCAGAATACGGGCGGTATAACCTAGTTTACACAGTCAAATTAATGTTCTGTTACCACAGCTAGAATTTTTAAAACGCAAATTAATATATAGGTTTCAAAGTATTTCGTCGAAATAAGTATTATGTCATGATAACCATGCAGCTTTAACACTAGGTTATTACTTCATCCCGATACTTGCTAAAAAACATTTGAAACTTGAGCTTTACCTATAAAAATTTTCAACTGTGAACACAGGAACAAACTGCATGCGTTGTTGTGTGCTCGAGTACACACACAAAAACGCACAAGTGCCAAAACTGCAGCAGACTTTCTGCAACATTGTTGTGCAATGAAATTGCATGTGTTAGCATGCTGCTTGTCCCAGGTTTGTTGAAAAAATGCTACTAGGCAATAGATGCAAGTTTGTTCTACATCAACTTATTATCGTTATGAAACCTTATGAAACTTGTTAACAAGTAGCCACTGACAAGCCAGTAGCGACTTAGCAGAACAACAGCATTGTTACAGCTTGTCAACAAGCTTGTTAATTGCGAACACAACTTGTCAACAATATGTGAGATTTTTATGTGTGTTTTAGTTTTATAATTTATTGCAATCAATCTGGTGCACACAAAATACCACACGGATAGAATGACATTATTGTTCGTAATTCAATATATAATATTCAATATACTGTAAAAAATCTCACCTAAAAAAAGGACACAAAATTACCAAACTCTGGGGGTGTATATACCCCAATCCCTCTTTATTCCCCAATTAACATACAGCTCCTTAGCCTTAGGGTCTTGCATACTAACGTGGACGATTTTTCTATTTTATTCCTAACTACGTCCGAAGACCTCAATAGACTGGATCGACAATGGCTAGGTGACGAAATTAACGAAATATTTTTTGTTTAGGAGTTTAAATTTGAAAAAGAATTTAATTTCCAAAACGAATTACGAAAAAAATTTAAAAATTGACCTCCACAATTTTAATATATACTATTAAAATACTCCAATTATCTTTCATAATTTTAGAGAGAATTAATCCTAGGGAATTACTAAAAGATTAAAAGATACTAGGATAAATTAACCTACATATGTCTAAAATGATAAAATATATCACATATAAACAGCTGAAATTAGTAATTATCGTTTAATTTTCTCCCTCGTGAATATTCATGTATCCAAAGTTTGTAGCCTGCTAATCCACTTCTTCGCTTCTTCTTCGGACGAGGCATACAAATTATATGCACGCTTGTCTGTACGGAGCTACATGTAACGGACAACATATATATTACGAAATGCAACCATGCACACGATACCATAAAGAAAAAGGAAAAATGGTCTGTCGTTCAATATAATTAATTTCATCAAAGAAAACTTTGCATAGTATATATTGATAAAAGGTAAATAAAATTGATCGAAATGTTTATCTATCCACCCTGAACCTTCCTGGAGGTGAATTTTGCAAAAGCTATCAGGCCTTAATAGTGAGCACAACACGCCCCGGCATTACAAAAAAGATAATTTTGGGAAATAACACTGGCGTAGCCAACCCGACAATTTTGTTTTGCTATGCTAATATTTTAATTTTCATTGAATGTATTAACAATGAACACATGAATAATTTTCTACATGAATAATAACTTAAATCATAGCAGCATTAAATCGTCAGGTCATCAAATGGTCCTATTTGCCAACGGAAAAAAAATTAATTTCATGTCATAATGGACATCTTTGATAGCGTTCAAACTATTGCTCTATACGGAGATTCATAGTATACCATATAATTAGCAAAATCATTTCTGGTATAATAAATAACTTCAGGCTTTTAACGTAATGCAGCAGAATACAGCTGTACTTACATCAAAATATACTTGTTTTTCATTGGAAACTGAAAATGGTTCACAGAAGTGATGAAATATTAATATAACATTAAATGTGAAATAAAATGTGTGTAATAAATATGGACAATAGTCGTCCAACAAATAATCTGAGAGTAGTATTGTATTTTTAACACGGTTCCTGGATTTTTAAAGAAACTAAACTCACCATTTTGTTGTGAAAGGTCACATGATATTATTTCCGATAAATTGACCACACCTTGGCAGTGAATATCACCTTCAGCGTCATAATATCTGAGCTGTAAAATTGAATATAATTAACTAAAACGATATAACAGAAATTTTTAGCTATATATATATGCAGCCCATTAAAATCCTGAATTTGTTGCATATACAAATTCCGAAAACGTTGACTATAACTTAACTTTTATAGAACAAGACAATTAATATGTACCAGAAAGGAAATATGTACCTGATGCCTTTCCGTGTCAAGCACAAAATATCTAGGCTTCCACTGTTTAAACAAGGCACCTTTTTTCCAAAGATAACCAGACAAAAATTTGGAGGATTTCGAGGAACTAGAAGACTGCAAAAAATTATATTAACTCCTCAGGTAAAAGTCTTGTTCTAACTAAATCTGTTAACAAAGTGTTTTAAAAACCTAAAACTGTATGAAGGAAGATAGCTATAATCAGTATTATCAGTATACTTATATGCATAAAAATGCATTGCGTCAATGCATCTTCAAAGAGGAATTGTCATTCAGAGATATTTCCGATAGGATCAGAGAAGTTGCTGTTATAGCTTTGCATACAGTACTGAATAGATATGAGTCATATCCACAATTCAATAATTACATATTGTTGGACAAAAATTTCAAGGATATTTTAAACAAGCAAGTTTTCAACAAGTTGACGCACGTAATAGAAAGTCGAGTAAAGTAAATAGAAAGTTAGGCAGTAAAGTCTTACCTCGTGTAAGCTCTTACTACTTGTGGATGGAATGTTATCGTTTTGTTCTTTCAAATCTCGGTAATAACGACATGCTTGAGGGACACGTGATAAACATTTTTCATGGCAGTTAAACCCACATTCCTTGCATTTAAATCCTGAAAATAGAAAAATATAATGCACATAATGCAGTGTTTACTAATAATGTAGTTCTACATTGTAAATGAAGTCCTATAATGTATTGGGAAACATGGTATGCATGGTGTTGGAAGTTAATCTGAATCTATAATTATCAATATTACTTCGTTTGAGGCCCGGGGCCTCAAAAATATTTTACCTGAGAGAGGAGATGGAGGAAAGGAGAAAAGAAAGAGAAATGAAGTTTTAAAAAAAATAAGTACCAATGACATACCTCCTTTGCCGATATACCACATCATTTGCAAACAGAAGTCACAGTTTGTTGGTGCTACAAAACTGTGAGGCTCAAACGTATGAGGTTGAGTAAAGCCTCGTTGACTATAGTCATCGATTTGCAGTTTTCCCTGGAATAAAACAAAAGTAAAAGTGCATAGCCATGCAGATGAATTTCATAAACCATAAAGTATAGCCCATCTCTGTAAATAACTTTCACCATAAATATAGCAAGTTCGCCATCACTTCGTACAGAAACTGACAATAACTAGGATGACGATATTTATAAGTGTATATTATTATCAAATGTGGTATAACAACTGCCTAAAATAGACAAAAACACTTCTCGACATTTCGACCTGAGGTCCTTCGCACTAATCATAGTACTTCGTACTTCATGCTAACTTTCCTGTGAGTGACGAAGGCCCTCAGGTCGAAACGTCGAGAAGTGTTTTTTGTCTATTTTAGGCCGTTGTTATACCACATTTGACGCTAAGTTATTTGAAGACGCTGCCGCGCTGCTCCCTGGTTATAAGTGTATATTATATAGAGAGAGTATATTTAGAAACATTACTATATTTTTCTCCAATATACATCATGATACATGCATAAAATATACAATATAGAAGTACAAACCTTTAAAACAATATCCATGGTATCTCTTTTGTGTAGCACAGCACTTCGGTGTCGGGAAACGATTGTGTTTAGTGAGACTGTCTGAATAAAGAAAATCATTGATATTTTATACTTTTTACAGTTTGCTTTCGTCGCTGCATGCAATATGTTTAATTATAATATTATAGTGTTAATAGACCTTTCCCTTTTTAGCTTTCAAGCGCGCAATGCGTGACGGTGGTCGATTATCAAGCAACTTTGAGTTACGATATCGCTCTGCTTAGAAGCGATTTTGTTTGTAAGAAAACCTTGCCGATTCTTTTTTCTCCTTTGTTAAACTAAATCACTCCTGAACATGGCGAAATCACAAACCAAATTAACCGCGACAATCAACTACCATCACGCATTGCGCTTGAAAGCTAAAAGGGGAAAGGTCTATTGCATGGTAATTATATCGATTGTAAAATTCGACAACACATATACTGTGAATTCTATATATATAACTTTTGTTATAATAATTGGATATGGAAAACAAAAATACTTTATAGATATGATGAACAATATTAGCTATACAGAGCATAGGTAACTCCAACACTATTCATTATCACCATTTTGTAGTTGAATTGTTGAAATATCTCAGTGGTTCAGAGAACAATATTATTTTATCTTTACAATGAAAAGAAAAAAGAGTGAAAAAATATATTTACAGGGGGATATTTTCAAGATCATTTGATTGATGATAATAAATGAAAATATTGGCGAGACGTATTAAAGTCACAGTGAAGACGTAAAACCAGTTTTGACGTTGTTTTTAAGACGTTTAGTGAAACATTAATGTGTTGTTCAATTGTTCAACCAAACTCGTGCAACTATTAAAATTTAATATCTGTCTTAATTGTGTTAACTATAATAAAAAGAACATTTCACTCGCTGCGTCCACTCCTAAATATTGCTTTAAAACCAGTCAATAAATATATATATATAATTATATATATATATATATATATACATATATATATATATATATATATATATATATATATATACCATACCTTTTTCGGGATGTTAGGGGACTCCAACTTATCCCATATCCTTTTCCATCGGCTGGTTCGTCGATCTGCTTCTTCTTCTATCCGGTTATACTCTTGCAGTTGGAATGAACATCCACTGCTATCATAGTTGGCAGTACCGCCGTACATTCCACTCAAGCAGCGCCTGAAAAAAGCAGGTAAGCATGGGTTTCCTGTCAACGCAATAAATATTATACGTTGATTTATCTATGTGCACTCCTTAAAACATTTTCAAAAAAAAAAGCAAGGAACAGCAAAGGCTTTATCAAAGTCTTTTATCTATACGAAAGGCAACGTTCATGCTTAAAACATCATCATATATAGTGTATACAAAGGAATTTCTCTTCATTAAGTTTGCCTTCGTAATTTTCCGAACTTCCAACAGCCTATCATGCAAACGATTTTTCCGATAACGTTTGTCGAGTAAATTCCATTCTGCATGCCTGGGTTTCGCAAAATTTCGATGAAAATACACTTTTTATTACACGCCATTTATATATTCGTCATTTTCACATCGTCTTTGACGTTTCCATCCTCAAGCTAAACCTGAGTAAACCTAGCTAAATCAGTGTGTAATTCAAATACCGTACAATTCACACGTCACAAGAAGTAGAAATAATATGACGCACATTTTTCCGTATTTTGTGCTCTAAAGTACCATAAAAAAAAATTTCCCATGCATACCTGTTTGAATTATACTTGTCCTCAAATTTTTGTTGGCCTTCTTCGGCTGCAGTCTCTGTCTCGTTGATAAGTTCTTGGTCAAATGTTGGACCCGTCGAAACATTTTCAGACACAAAATAGCTCCACAACTTAAGGTTAGATACATTACAATGAGGCCGAAGTACCTGACAAAACACGGAGATAGGAAGAATTACTTTTATAACAATGCAATAAGAGAATAAAACGTTGCAAACATCGGTTTTCTTCCAGGCCTCCATCAGCTAAAAATTATCAACTTTAAAAACAATGGCTAATCAGCAGAAATACTGTTGATTTTCACCCGACGAACGAAACCTATACGTTTTCCTATTTATATATCTTGCTTCCTCATCATGCAGTGGACAAAATTTGTGCAGTTGCTGAATCTATTAGAACCTAACCTTGTTCGAGTGCTGGCTTGAATACTTAAAATTGTAGAATATTGAACCCTTTCTATGAAGTTCATCAACATAATCCCAAAGGCTTTTCCCACGTGATTTGTCATTATCTTCATCGTCAGACAACCACCCCATTTGTTGCCGTTCGTGCTCTGAGTCCAACAAGAACGTACGAAAGCGCATTGAGACATGATGGTATGCGAGAAAGTGAAGGAAATATTCATTGAATTCGAATGATAATGGATATTGATGAAGAATCTAAAATACAAATGACAGGAAAAAATGAGAATTAACTACATTAAATTGTGCATATTCACTATTATTAGGCAAATACATCTTTTTAATAAATATACGCCAGGCAACATTTTAGGCTATAGAAGACTCTCAAAACGGCTAGAAAACTCCCAGAAAAACATGCATGGAACAAAGCGATTGACTCACCGTGATAAACGAGAGCGCGGCGAGGCTCCCATACCATGGATGAAAAATTATTGAAATAGTGCATTATTATATCAAAATTTCAGTAGTTGCAAGAAACGCAATTTTTTGGAAAAAGAATCTCAGTTACAAAAAGACTAACCTCAGCCCAGGCTGATGTGTAATTTGGTTTCCATAAATACATTTTACAGTATGTTTTTGATCTACTCGCCATAGAAATAACTCACAAGACTGTGTTGACAAGAAGCATAATCAAAGCTAAGTAAGGTTCTTAGTTTGCAAATCCATAAACTGGCTCTGAAAAATTGATACAATTTTATAATTTTTTTCAAAAGTGGGATTTCGAAATACTTACTTGATGAACCCCGTCGAGAAATTGCAAAAATACTGGTGCGAATCCACTCGACTGTGTTGATTGTGTGTGATTACAGCGGTGGGAGAAACGATGCCCAAATGATAACCACTCTTTTTCAATCAATAATTTAAAGCCGTTAATTGTTCTGTACTTGGGATCTAACATTACTTGTGCGAGAGACGTTATCTACAATAGTCGGAAAATTATACAATTGTTGGAGTAATAATCATATCCAGCTGATCTGAGATCATGATATCATAAGACGCCTCGACAAAACTGAGTTATCAAGCGCCTGGAGAATTTGTCCACGTTCTTCTAACTAATGGTTTAAACTATAAAGGGTGCGGGATTAAACGTCTAATTTGTGTTAAAGTCATATGAAATGAAAGAATTGATAATTCAATTTTGTCGAGGATCTGGCTTCTGATTGGTTGATTTTTATTCTCAGATATCAAATTTCATGGTCATCAGACTATAAACGAATAATTGGGTGGAGGGGTGTATACTCGTACACTCAGTTATTTTTAAGGTGGTCTTATAACAATTTATTGTTTTTAAAATTTCAAGGGATCCCAATATAAATGTCTCCCTATTCGATCCTTAATATTTTTTCTCAAAAAAAAAAAAAAAAAATATATATATATATATATATATATATATATATATATATATTTATATATATAAAGAACGCGAGAATTAAACGAAAAGTTTATTAATTAGGGGTTTTAATAAACCGAGCAAAGGGCAAAACCTTTTTCGTCGCATTGCTTAGCAACTGAATTTCTCACTCCCCTCAGTTTTGTGTACGAAAACCAAAAAGTAATAAAGCTAACTTGATAAAATTTTCATGGTTGACTTAAAAGACAATTTGCTCGGAGATGAACTAAAAGTTTTGTATTCCGTTCAGTCTAAGTAAAATAGCGACCTGTTTATTTCAGATAGATCGGAGAAATTTTAGTTCTAGAGTTAAAACTTAATTTGTTATTGTGTTTACAAAAATCGTCTATTTTCCACCATCGGATGTGTCTGGTCTGGGTAACTATAGTGATTGAAGATTCATACAAGCCGTTTTTCACTCAGAGCAACTTGGCTTGCAATATGGCATGAAAAGATTTTTATATTTTTCAAAATAAAAAAATAATTTTTTTTTGTATAAGACCACCTTAAAGCACATGATATTTAAGAATTTATAATTTTGATTTAAATTGAAAGGGCAGTTCATGTCTCCTAGTAAAATAAGTTGTTTATTTTAGGCATTATTGCAGTCAGTTGTTTTTTGCCCTTTGTAAAAAAAAGGGGAATTTCGTTTTAGACCAATCAGCAAGTTTGTTTACATTTTCAGTAACCCAATCAGAATGCATAAATTTTGATAAAAAGTACAATATATGCCATTTTACATGAAGTATTTGAAATTTAGGCATTCTAATTGGCTTTGCCTAAAAAATGTAAACAAATATGCCGATTAGTTTAAAACGAAATTCCTCCTTGTTATTTGTAAATTCTTAGACCCCCCTCAATAAAATGTTGTCCATTTTTAATGTCACTCCTAATGAACGAACGGGTATTTTACCTCATATGGGACTGATCCAAGTTACTTGAAGTATTAGAATTGGCAGGATATGTTTCCAACAAGTTTTTCGTGTAAATAAGTGCAAAAATTTTCATGGAAAACTGCATGCAGGTAAGTTCTATCAATCAAAAGGGTCCCTTCGCTAAATAAACAGATAAACTATAACTGCTAAATGTAACTTAAAAATACTCACTTGTGACGTATTATCCCATCCATCTTCAAACGCGATCAACACGGATGAACCTTGAATGTCAAGTAGATCAACAACAGCACCGGAAATACGCAATGTAAGCGACAACTAGAATGAAAAAATTTTTTTTTATTATTTTTTAAAGGTATATAGAGAAATTTATTCGAACATTACTATAAATACATAATAAATCGATATCATATACTTTTTATAATGCATGCACAATACAAGAGGAATATTTAAATTAGCTTTGTGATGAGTCATCTATTATTTCAATTGCATTCGATGCAACGAGAATGTGACGAAAAAACTAGGCATTATATAGAAAAGCACCAGAGAACATTATGAAATTATTTATACAAAAAAGTCCAAATACCTGATTGAACCATTCGCTTTCTTGCAAAGCTTTCAAAAACGTTTCACCCTGCGCGGAGTCCCTTGGTGGGCCACTTGGACAGCACACTTTAAATAATTTCTTCAAGCTTGTTTTCATGTCCCGCAAATCGGGCAACTAAAGAGCGATACGGTATATATTTATGCTTCACTTTAATTCTTATTTTGAACGTTTTTCAACATGCATCTTTCTATTGAATCCACAATGATCACGTAAATAAACAAACCTCAGCTGGCACGAACTCAATTTTAGGATAAGCTTCTTTCTTTAAGCTCTATAGATGACACAACGTGAAGATTAAAACACGGTGGAGATGTTATACGATAACACAAAGAAAACTTGTATCGATGACGACGCTCGTACGGCAAAAAAAGCAAAACTGTGGGTCTTTTATGCAACAGTGAAGTAGGGACCTATCGAAAAATTGGTTTTCATGTCGGGGTTTTCCAAGTTAAGCCGTCCTGAATATTACTACGCGTGCGGGAATTTTATTCCCTCGCCTCACTCACCTTCAAATTGTTCTTATCGCAAAAAACATACAAGGCTGCTGGTTCCCAGCCTTGTGTAATCATTGCTTTGTCAATGGTATCGATTGCTGAAACACGTTTTAAATCCTTATCACTTAGATCTCTCATATCCAGAGTAGCACTTGACATGTTTGCATTTGATGCAAGTGATTGTTGTTTAGCAGCCGCCTTATTTTTTGATACAGGAGTTGCAGCGACTATATAATACAGAGAAAAGTCGTCGATTAAACACGGCTTATGCAGTATATAACGCAGTCAAGTGTGCAACCTTGGAAACCCTTGGGAAATCCAATCTGTTCTTGAAGAACAAAAGATAAAGTTCAGGAATTGCATTTAGCGCCTTATAATTATATCGCATTACAGCTAAATTATAGCCTACGTCGTAGCCTCCGAACCCCCCTACACTTCACAGCCGTGTTTACACTTTAGCGTTACCTGGGCTCTTTTGTACAAAAAAAGTTAGGAGATTTCTAGGAAACTAGAATTTTAAAGCGGTTTTTTGGGAAAATTAAAATTGGCGTTTGCATTTTTTTAACTTCAAAAACGTACCAACAGCAGCCAAATACTTGTCTTGTTCCACATTTGAAGAACGAATGGCGTCCGTACTTCCACCGCTTGCGGCAACTCCAGTGCGGATGATGGAAGCAACGGAACTTCTTTCAATCGCGGATGACCTCAACAAAACAGCCATATTTGTCTTATTTCTCCACGTAGCAACCGGAAAGCGCATCTGACGATGGTTTTTTGCCACTCGTAGTATGGAATCGTCAGAGACTTGATGAGGAACGACCAAAACAGCCGGATAACTACAAAATAAGATGGTGTGAGAATAAATTGCCATAAAAATTTGGAAAAGAACATTCCATCTTTGAAAATATAACCGAATGAAAATATTTTACATATTTGTTATATATGTAACTCAAAAAAAGTCTTTACTCCAATATTATTGAATTCTTAAAAGTTTAATGTAATTACATTTTGTGAATATTTTGTGGCATTCTATAGGTGTGCCCTAAGAATTTAGCAGACTAGCCTGGCCTACGAAAATTTTGACTAACGTAAAAAATCCTAGATCCGCCCTGTTGTGATATCACTGTGTTCGGAAGCGATTCTTTTTTGTGAAAACCTTGCAAATTTTCTTTGCAAAACTAAATCGCTAAAGCTTGTAGGAATCTTCAATCACTATAGTTACCCAGACCAGACACACCCAATGGTGGAAAATAGACGATTTTTGTAAACACGATAACAAATTAGGTTTTAACTCTAGAACGATGGAATTGGTTTTATTTAATTCTAAATATTTTTGCCTCGGAGTTGAGCCTAGAATAAATAAATCTTTTCCAGTATTAAAGATGTTGTTGTATAATCTTTACATGACCTATGTGTCGTTTTAATTTTCTTATTTTCTTCTCGTTCTCGCTCGACCGGCTGTAATGAATATGCTTATTCAATATTATATTTTGAAGAAAATATTATTATATTTTGAAGACGATATAAAGCAAAGCTTGTAAATAAACCGGCCGTTATTTAAAACTTTATATATTTGTAATTGTAGGACAAGCGAGAAAGTAGCGTCTGTAGCGACGACAAATAGCCTCGCCATCCTTTCAGCATAATAGTGATGATACATAAAATTTGCATATCATGACTAAATAGCTAGGCTGGCTAAGCCACTGTAAAACAGTTCTATCGATAAAGCATTATAGCGTAAACCCATTCTTTATTCCCGACTGGATGGGTGAAGAATGACACGTTTGCGATGGTGTAAAATCTATCTATCAGAAGATGAACGCGGGGTCTTTCTCTTGTCTGATAAGGTAGCGTATTTATATGTTATTCCTTTGGCTTAAGGTCTGTTCACACGATCCAATTTTGTTGGATTCAATTCACTTCTGATGGATATTTTATAGTTTGTTGTCTTGAAATATATATGAGCAGCAAATCAACTGAAGAAAATGCAGTACTGCTTTATCAATAACTGACTAATATTTCTTTCGTCAGAAGTTAATTGGATCCAACAAAAGTGGATCGTGTGTACAGACCTTTAGGCTATCATGAATTCAAAGGAACCACACATCTCATTTGCATATGTGTAGGGTGATTATTCCATCATAATTGAAATTCACATGAATGCATTACCTTCTACAAACGTATTGGAGGTTGACCACTGATATTCTCCAAGGCATACTCTTACTGTTTGAGTCATTTAGTAACGAGCCAAAACCAAGGCGTACATATTCTTTACAATAAGGAGTCGAGTTCAGTTTGTCGATTGGAGGAACCGTTTCATTAGGTAGGGATATCGGAATATCAGAAAGATCAACCTAAAAATAGTTCATCCAAGCATCAATTAGCCATCCTGGAAGGTCTAATTAATAAGATTTTCTTGCACGTTGCCCAACCACGGTCGGTCCTAGACAGTCAACTCAAACCTTAGCCCCTCCCCCGATTCAATTTCGTGGAGCGGTGCCTTTCAAGTTTTGCTTTGCATTATAAAACCTTAAATTCAAATGGAAGACTAGTTGCCTAACAGGGCATGCCCAATGCCTCTTTAACCTCGAAAAAGGTGAATTAGGTAAGGTATAGCATTTCCAATTCATCCCTATATGGAAAAAACAGGCACTTGTAGCTATTTCCAGCACAAAATAATTGCTTAGATGTTTAGTTGTTTTTACATTTTACGAAAATAAGTGGGATTGTTTTGCCCAAAAGATCGCGAGTATCTACAAACTGACAAACAGTAATGGCGGATAATAGCTTCCGACCGATCACAAATTTTACAGTCCTCGGAGGAGATCGTACTACGTGACATTCTTACTGCATGGCTATCTTTAAAATCGCAAACAAGTGAAACATGGAAACAGGTTTTTCCGCTTCCTAGTTCCTCCATTCCCCTGCTCCCCAGTTCCTTATCTACCTTGCACAGACGATAACATAAAATTAACTTAAATAAGCAAATCCGTGAAAAGGCAAGTTATTAGTATTTTTTTGTACAATCTAATCTTTTGGACAATCCTTCGAATTCTTCTACAATCTAATCTAGCCTAATTCTCACTAATTCTAACAATTTTCGTATTATCCAATTAGTCTTAAACCATCGCTTAAAAGATTAAAATGAATGATTATTCACTAAACACTAGATAGTGAAGGTTGAGATAAAAGTATAGTTAACATTTTCAAGGCGAGATGATTATTGAAAACTTTTCCCTTCTCCCAACAATGGTTATCGATTAAACCACAACCACAATCAAAACAAGGGAACTCTCCAGCCTAGTCCCGGGCCTTGTACGTGCGCTGTTAATTATGCACGGAGGGGCTGCCAACGCTGAGAGGTCTAGCACAAAATGTTGAGATTTCAAAAATTGTCCCTGATTTTGTCTCTGATGCAAATATTTTGAGATCAGTATATCAGAGATAAATTTTCTCGCCGCCATTTTGAATCAAGAACTAAAAAATTTTGTGCTTGGGACTAGCCCAGGAACTCTCCACATTGTCATTACCATTTATGTATACTTTACAAACTAGTGCGGATGGCCAAATGCGTTTAGAATAACACTGACCTGCCCATCAGATATATTTTCCATTGAGCCATCAGAAGATAAATTTCTTTTGCGACCTGGTCTAGGTGAAGACAAGCCATTTCGATTTCGTACTCTTTTTATCGAACCTTTAAAATGTCTAATTCCACTTTCTCTTTTCACAGCCACATTACTTGCCCGAGGTTTCATTTTCTTGGGTTCAGCTACTTGGTGATCATTCGGCGGTAGTTGTAAGCGCACAACCTTCACCGGCTGTTTCTTATCACTCGTTTTAAAGGAGAAAGTGCTTAAAACGGACGGAGGATAGCGAAGTTTGATTATAGTTTTGCGAAATGCTTCGACCTTTTCTGCACCTACTTCTTCGTCAAAACAAAGTTTTAACATCTGTCATAACAATAAATATATACATTAGTTTCCATCCAAAAAATTCGAATTACCTGTTTCTGATCATATCTAACCTGAAATGTTACAGAACGTAACTGAACACATTCTCCCATCCACGAATTCAAATGTTGTATATATTGAGCAGCAAGTTTCTTCTCTCTAACGAGAGATCCAAGTGGAAAGCTTCGAGTGACAACCATCTCTGAAGCTGAAAATATTCATTGCTTCTTATGATTTTAACGTAATATAAAATATAGTAAATATAGTAAAACATTATTGTTCCTAGTTGGTATGGTATGTACAATTTTAAATGTAATTGCACTCTACTTAAAATCAAGTATAACCATAGCTAGCCCGGTGAGTGCATATATAATTATCCCAAGGCTGGCACCTCTCTGACAAAAAATATAATGCAGAATGTACATATTCTATAAAGTTTTAAAAAATATAATCCCCGAGCCGGTGCGGAGCACCGTGCGAGGGTACTAATTCCGCCCGGAGATTAGGAATTACACCCGGAACCCGGCAGAACATAGCGGAATCCAAAGTCGCCCAAATGTCATGGACGTTCAATGGTCATGGTACTTGTGCGCACGCGCAAAATTTGAATGAGTGACGACTGGTAATTAGCAACTTGCTGATTGGCTAAGACGAAACGTTCGTGTTTCAGTGAAAAACGTCTGCAATTTAACTGTCATTTTGCAAACTTTTTTTTTAAAAAAATGTTTCGAAAACACAATATGAAATGTGGAATCAAATAACGGATAAAACACTGGGAAGAGTTTAAAATATTATCAGAACTGGAAGAATTAGCGGTGAAAAGGAACAACTGGTTTATAATCCTTGAAATGGTAGGAGTCTATTTTGTTTATTTCGAGGTTTCTTTCGTGTTTGCTGTACGAATACATTTTATGAGCTTGGTACAGTGTGTCGTTTTGCTTGGTTTTGCGAAGACGTGACCGACTATTTAAGGCTTTACATCATCGTTTTAACTTCAAAAAGAGTTCTTGAAAGTGTATTTTGGAGTTTTTATATAACAAATATCACTTTAAAGGTTTATAGAGTCGACTGCAATCACTGCATGAATTTAATAATCGAAAAACAACATTCGACGTTCACTGCTTGGTTATTTATATTATTTGTGCTGTTTTGATGTTTTGAAGGTATAGCTATAATGAAGTATTAACTCTCACTTAAACTGTGAAAGTCTATAACTTAATGCAACGGAAAGCAGCAGGAAAACGGGTGATTTCACTTCACCTTTACGACTGTATTTGTTTCCGAAAAATTTGAAACATCAGCTATCGGCTTTACATTTAGGACATTTCATAATATTGAAGGTTAGGTCTGGCTAGCTCAGGAAATATTTTGCTTCGTTTGAAATGGCGAGGGGTTGCTGCATGCATGTATTTCTAGTAGTATAATATAACTAGCATGGTCTGTTTGAATGTCATATAATATGATATCTTCCGAGGACCGGTTCGTGATCGGTCGGAAGCTATCATCCTCCATTGGCCCGCTTATTTTCGTAAAATGATAAAACAACTGAACATTTAATCAATTATTTTGAGCTGAACAAACAGATAAATGTCTATTTTGTGCTGGAAATAACAAGTGGAAAAGGTCAAATTCGCTCAGCCAAGGAGCGGGGTTATAAAATATATTTGCAGGTGTTGTTTTCATTTATGGACAATATTTTTCCATATTATTCTTGCATTATACAACTGACAAAATTGCAAATCTCGTAATCCTCGAATGCCAATTTTTATTTGAGCGGTCCAACAACGATGATGGATAGCGTAATGACGACTTATTTTCTATTGGACAGATCGGCAGCCAATCAGTGTGTGCCAACTATATCTTTGTATAATAATACTACGATTTATAAAACCTACCAAACTCATCAACAGGAGTTCCTTTAAAGATTATCCTGTAATTTGTAAGAAAAACAGCTCCTTCCGCAGGAAACAGACATGGTCCACCATAATGTAGACCAGTCCCGGTTTCCCGACCATCGGGAATCAAATAACACCGTAGTCCATCCATTTGCATCTCCTCATAGGGTAACATCACTGGTCTGATTATTTTCGCCTGTAAAAATATTCGATATGAAATATCAGTCCCAATGACCAAGATTAAAGTATTATATATTATTTACATGCATGTTGTATGTGCATGTTGAGGCAGGAAAATATATAGATAGTCCTACTATAAGTGAGAGACAATTGAAGAAATAATGTACTGAAAGCGTGAGCATAACAATTACCTTTCGAATTGGCGCAAGTTGCTTATGCTCTCTGTAAACTGGTTCCAACGATTCCGTGTGCATAGTTACCACACCTATAGAACGACGACCAAAAGAATCATTGAACATTATTCAAGTATAGAAGTGATTGAACAATCATATTTTATTCATTTTTTGCTTCTAAACCCCAGAAATGTAACCCTAAATTGGTCTACGCGAAATAATTTCAACCTATATAGCCACTAACCCTCCCTGTTGAGAAATATAGCCACGTTGGAAACGTAGAAGCGTCTTCGACGACTAATTGTTAAATAGAAGCTCGACCAATCAGCACGTGCGTAATATAAATGTTATATTTTAATTTTGATTTGAACTGATTTGTCACTATATATATAAAATTTATACTAAAATTTTGTGTTTTTATTCTGTTGCGAGTCATCCAATAGCTTTTGCTTTTGTGATAACACAAAACATTTTGTGATAACACTTTGTGATATCTCAGAGAAAGTGAAGGTAGAGAGAAACAAAGTATGCATTTAGATTATTAAAAACTATATATGTCCTTAAATTTTAGCTTTGTCTCAATCTTTTATGCAATGAAGAATTATGACTATGAAGTTGCTAACATGTTTCGCAATTTGTTTTTGGTAAAAGCACAACGTATAGCAGGGCCAAAACCAGAAAGACAATTGAGAAGGGGAGGTGTTTATTCATACGGGAGTTGTTTTACACAAACACACATGTAATATAATTGTAAAATGTCGTTACAACTTTGAATCTAATTAAAACATGTTTTGTGGTCACATGTACTTTATGTCAACGACGGTATATTTATAGTTCTGCCCGACGGTTTCTTCTGTAAGTCCCTTTCAATAAACACCCTCCCAATTATCGTTCTAGTTCCGGCCCTGGTTATAGAAACAAACAAACTATGTTTCACTATAGTTTCTCTATTTTAGATAAGAAAAAGTTTTCCAAGTAAAGAGACTGCATGTGGAATGTGTCTTTCTAAAAGTATTTTATACTAACTTTTAAGTATTTTAAACAATATTTTATACTAACTTGGTACCAAACTGTACAACGACTTCAGGTGTTCTGTGGATATACCAGCAGCAGTTCCGACCCGATCGACAAATCGAATAACAAATCGTGTCACTTCGTTAGTGATAGTGCCATCATCCTCTTCTTCATCCCAGTGATCACTGTTATGTACATCACCATATACACTGCCTTGGGCTAAAAAATAAAAAATAGGTATGCAAGGCATACATGTGGGTAGCCTCCAAAGCATTGGCAAAGATTTTCAAGTTTTTTCCAATGTCAAATGACAGGCCGCAATAATGGCGGGGAAATCAACTGCATGATGCTTAGTTTTACGTTCTAATGCCATACGCAAAGGCAAAAATGGGCTAGTTTGCTAGTTGGATACAGTTATAACAAAGTAGACATAAGAATAATCAATGAAATACCAATGAAATACCATTTCTGCGATTCCCGCGAACGGGCTACCCACAAAAAACGCATGCACCTATACGGATACAGTAATATCTGCATAGAAGAAATCAAGTAATTCAACAACACCTTATTTTAAACTCCAATACCTACGGGAAAGAGCGTTAGCGTTCGTCTGCTCATGCAAGGAAATAATTAAATATCAGCGTGCGCCAAGGTATAAACACTTGAACCAGTTTTCATGTAGCGATAATTTTCGCGCAAAGCGAAATGTTACTTTTGTCTCAGAACTGTCACTGCAACCATCTGGAACAAATTGCTCCAATGCAAAAGAATAAATCGCGCGAAAAATCTCCCTATAGTGGAAAATCAGCTTTATATAGGGCACGATTGCACTTTTCTACACAGGGTGTATCAGAAAAAACTAGAAGATTTTAAAACGTCCAGAAAACTATCATTTTATCAAAATATCTCAAAAATATATTTAGGTTAATTTGTTGTTTTTAGCATCTGGCTTATTTAACAGTAAAAACTAGCAGAAAAATTAACTCGAAAAGCGTACGTAAACATAACTAACAATAAATACTCTTGTTTTATTACTATCACTCATGCATGTAATCATTCTTGCATCTAAAAAGTTACGCGAGAGCGGAGTAAACAGGAAAAAAGTCTACTTTTGAAACGTTTCGTGGCGGGGTTAATGTTTATCAAATTTTCTGAAAATGCGATATATTGCACATGCAAAAGAGTCCACACTTCCACCTCTCTGAATGAACTTGGATTTTTAACCTCTCATTTTCTTTGCGCAAGCGGTAAAAAATAAGGCTTTTACAAACCGTTCTCCCGGTTTTTGAGGTTAATTTTTCTGCTATATAGTTTTTACTGTTAGATAAGCCAGAATATGCCAAAATACTTAGACGTAAATATATTTTTGAGATATTTTGATAAAATGATCATTTTTTGAACATTTTAAAATCTTCTAGTTTTTCCTGATACACCCTGTATAAAAAGTCTTAGACTGTTTTTGGCCACATTGCTCATAATCATTTTTAATATATATATTATTATAATAATTTAAATTGTATTTTCAATATGTTTGAAATAAAAAAGAAACGGAAACACATTCGACACACATTTTAACAACATTTCCCTTTGCAAAAAAAGGGAAACACTTTTTACCTGTGCCAGAATCTGTTACATCAACAACGGACCCATTAGTACTTTGGCCGACTCTAGCAACGTTACTCCGACTGTCTGATCCAATGCTAGTATTAGCCAAAGATCCATCAATATTATCTTTTGGAGCCCCTGTTTTATGAATAAGATAGGAATTATTTAGGATTGAATTCTGCTTTCACATGATACGAAGAATTGCCAAGCCTCGGTTTGTCGTTATCAACGACTATTAATTTTGAATGAACGCGCGAATTTGTGTCGGTTTCACATGCATTTCCGCTCCCTCGGGGAGTTGTTGCATGGAGATTATATAAATAACAGTACAGGGGTCATTGATATCGGAAACATCAGTCGAAAAAGAGAGCGCGCTAATGGGGGGCAAATTCATGTCCCGGATTCTAAACCAAGCGCCTGTTGGCTACATGGATGCCTCCTTAGCAACCACATTAGCAACAACTAAAATCTGTAATATAAAAATTTCTATTCGTTGTTTTAGGTCGCTTTGCCGGTTTTTAAGGAAAAACAGTGTTTTTTGAACTGGTTTTACTTCTTTAGACATCCTGAAATGATATTTTAGGGCAAAAACCATTAGAATTAAAAAAAAATCTCGTTTAAAACGACTTATTTTGGCCTCGGACATCGTGCATAAGTGAACATTCGGGGCTTGGAAAAATAAAATCGTGCGATCTTGCAAAATCGACTCCTGGGCCATTACACACGACTACTGACAAGTGAAATTACCATAGGCAGTTCAAAATTTGAAATTCATGAAGGTATTTACGGTACAAACGATAGAATAAGAAAGTATAACTGTGTAACTGGAAGCGTATATATATACTTATAGTGTCGGTTGTTCGAAAGGCCTTTAGGTTAAACGGTGGATAAGCCAAAGTTTAAAATTGCTCTCATGCATCTTGTGAATGACTATAAATCTGCATCTTATGCATGCATTAAATGTGTACTTCCATTGACAATTAAGCTATTTATATCGAAATATTTCAGCTCATAAATATAAATGTAGTTTTGTTTTCCATTTTACACTTATCCACCGTTTAAGCTAAACGCCTTTCGAACAATCGGCCCCTGCATGCAAAAAAAGTACAAACTATCTTAAAACATTCGACTGACGTAGTGATGAAATTCCTCTCTATGCATTTGAAAAGCGGCATACTAACCAGCGTTTTCGTGTACAGTTTCCTGAATGCGTCTTCTCTTTGGTTTGACCAGTTGTGAAACATTCAAAGGTATCATAAGGTATACCATACGGTTGACGAAATGAATTGCCTGACTAAACACGATACTTTCTTCATTTGTAACATTTGTTTTTTGTACCTCCTCGGAAAGTGAATCCCAGTTGCGCATCTAAAAAAAGACACAAATCTGTCCGTCTGTATACATTTGTATACAAATATATATATAAACTATATCATGAACTATATATAAACTATTATATAAACTAAAACACGCTTGCCCCGTCTGGCACACCACAATACCTGTGACCTGTCTGATAATATCAAAACTTCTAAAAAGGAGCTTCTGGTATAATATATATCCGCAAGTAGATTATGAAGTGACTCTCATGGAATTGCTCAATGCAGGTATGCGTCTTGATGAAACAGCATATAAATTTGTGGAAGAATTTTTCAAAAGATCCAAGATCTCGATTCTAAGCTTATTCACCTTATTTTAATTGATTGTAAACATATTGCAATTCACCGTCAGGTGCTATAAACCTTCAATTATACTATCATATTATATATTACTGCAAAACGGTGGAATAGGGGTGTGCCGGAAATGGGAAATATCATAATTGCGAGGGCGTATCTATACCGAGGTACTACAATTTAAACATAAAAAAAATGATGAATCATCAATACAGTAAAACAACTATCAGAATAGTATATTGTTACAACAGAATAATCATCACACTGAGTGAAAATATGGAGTATGCCGCATAAGCTGTTAAAGTTTAAAGAAATTTGGTGCACGCGTTGGCAAACGTAAGATCTTTAAAACTTAGGTATTCTAACGTTTTTGAAGCAAAAAAAAAATGGGAAGAACCTTAAACAAAAATTTCAGCTTCAGTTCAGGTCAAGTTAATTAGACAAAGCTTTAAGGGAATTTCTGGCTGCGAGTGCCCAAAATTTCTTCAAACTTTGATAGCTTGTGCAGCACATGCATATACTCCGTATTTTTAGATTTAACGCGAATTTCTTGAAACACCCCGTATTAAATAAAACGTCCGGCAAAGACGCGCATGTTTTGACAAAAAACTATCGTGTTTATTGTTAAATTGAACCGCGATAAAGCCCTACAAAAATGCACCATTTAATCGTCCACCTCATGTTTGAAAATTTTGACAAATTGGACTCGTGTAATTTTGGAAAGCTTTTCAAACATCATTGGAACATTAATCCCAAATTCTACTGCGGTGGCCGTCTTCTTCAAAAACAACTATCGTACCTGTGTAGCAGCGATATCTAGAGCTTCGTTATTCACTCCCAATTCCCGATCAATGTTTTCCTGTTGATAAACACCCGACTGTGTAATCACAACAACATCATGTTTATGCACTGGTGGACTGTGAAGGTGCTGTGTCATACTAGTCCTTGACGTACGTGGCGTTGAAAGGCGTTCAAACAAGCCTGCATTATTCGCGAATACTAAAATAAATTGAAGATTATGGCCATAAATAATTGGAAAAGGAGCCAGCATGTGTTTCACCGAGGACGAGGTATAGGTATATGATTCATTCTAACATTCTTTTCGAGAGTAGAATTCTCATCATACCGCATCAATATTTATGCGTAGCAGAATATTTAAATTTATTTTGGTTGGCTGTAGTTCTAAATTAATATGACCTGGAGTTTACATAACGTAATCAATCCAATTGTTATTAGCAGAACCGATTCACTGGCTTCCACTGTAACCCTCTGTTTTCACTGAAAACTCTAACTTGAACTAAAGCAAACTGGTTGGTTAGTTCAACTAGTGATGCAAGGATAGCGTAAAGTTTCCATGCCCTGTAATAGCTAAGCAACTAGACAACCACAGTCCAAGTTATATTTGTTTAATAGAATGCTCGTAATTTATAACATAAGTTTATGAATTGCATCGATTCTCAAAGAATTATTCAATTTTTGTGCCCGGAATGTTTCAAGCAACACTCGTCGTTCCTCCTTTCCTTACATCATGAATATTGATCAAGGCCAGGCGGCACATGCGCTGTTGCAACGTTTAAGAAAAAATCGGGTGTTCCGGGGGGTAATTTCCTTTAAAACCAAACCCAAACCACGGAAAAGCAATGCTTCAAATTTTACAGTAACAGGCCAGACTCCTTAATATTTTTGTGAACTTAACAAAAGGGATAGAGAATTAATAAATAAAACAAGTTAAACTGACTTAATTAAAAACTTCACATTACTGATCATATACAACTTTACATTACTGATCATGAACCCCGGAAAGTTTACACAATGGCTGACTAACTGACCGACTTACTCGTTTGAATTTTCGCCACTCATTACAATACTGCAAAGTTTCTTTGAAAATTCGCACTAATAAACGAATGGTTGTGTAAACATACAGGGCCTAATAATAAATACACCTACACTTATCTGACGATTGTCTCTTCTTATTATTCGAACCATCATACAGCTTCTTTATATCTGTTTGCACGTCACTAAAGAAAGTTTCTTCCCAGAATTGAGCATTCTGCCAGATTGGATGGTCTTGAACACAGGTATAAGCAAACTGCATTACCCCGGGCGCCAAATTCTACAATTATAAAAGAGAAGGGATATCAAAACCAACTATATATAATAATTGAATGCCACGGGTATTGTGTGTTAGTACAAAATATGCAACTTACTCGACAAAATTCCGACGTTAATGGAAGCAAAGCGGAGGCAACAGCACCATCGTTCAAGCTTGCATCATCCTATTCAGATAAGACGGCCCATTTTATTCTAATATGTGGGATCAAATTCGAAATTTTCAACCACAAACTCTTCCAAACTCTGCTCTGAAAACTATCCCTGTTAAACTAAGGGTTAAACGTATGCAAATCTCCCTATTTACCTGTAACGCACAGTTCATTAACGTAATAACAAGATTAAATTGATCATGTTCAAGCACAGCTCTATGCTGTTCTGAACGTGCTGCCAGCTCTTGGCATAACGCCAACTGCGCTCCTCTTGATTTTAAAGCTCTTTGGACCGATGGAAGTGCCTGAAAAATTCATGAAATGTGAGTATTAATAACCATCTTTATTATATGGCACGCGCTCTTGTGACTAATGGAATCCCCCAGTATTAGACCGTTGCCGTAGTAACGGTCCAACTCTCATATTTCTGAACAAAAACAAGCAGCTTGCACTTTTAATTTTGACACGAAAAATATCGACGAAAAATGGACGAAGAAGAGCACCACCCGGACGAATTTTACTATCAAGAAGATCTTGGCGTATCGAATGATTTCATGTCCGAACAATGTAGCAAAATAGCGAAATTTCCTTCATTTACATTGTGAATTGTCGTTAAAAATCGTTCCGTGTAACATCAGCTTTATGTTCCTATACAACTGTGGACATAATATTTTGTTATTTGGAACATGTGAATATTATACCTATTCATCGTATTATTCTTATTTAACGAGTAAAAAACAAAGTTTTGGAAGCCACTTCAGTGCTTGCTTTGCTTGCTTGGCGACTGACTGGCTGGCGAAAGAGTCGGCAAGAATGCTGCAGCGCGTTGTATAAAAAAATTAAGTAAATACTGTATGCCATATAATAAATCTCTCATTAACCGAATACGTTCGGTCCGTACTGGAAAAATATCAGACCTCGGTCTTTTATGTACGGACCTCACTATCGCTCGGTTGGTACTGTCAAGACCTCGGTCTGATATTTTTCTAATATGGACCTCAAATTCGGTTAATAAGTGGTATATAGAAAAATATTTTTATACCAAATGGGAATAATATTTAGGACGAGTGAATAACAATGGCTGATAACACAATGATATATATATATATATATATATATATATATATATATATATATATATATATATATATATATATATATATATATATATATATATATATATACATACACATTTAAGAAAAAGAAAACATTTTCCGTGCTTCTATACAGTTATAGAAACACGCGTGGGAGTTTGGGAGAACGAGAAATAATCAGTGGGAAAACGAGCTCGTATAGGGCGAGTTTTTCCACGTTATTTCGAGGAAAAAACGTTTTCTATTTCTTTTATAATATAACTCAATAAAAAGACTTTTTTACAAATATTATAATTCAATTCAATTACAAATGCTCATTACATTACTTCGCTTGACAAGTTAGGCGGGAAAATTCCCGTGTTTCTATACAGTTATAGAAACACGCTTCTCGACCAATCAGCACGCGCGTACTATAAATGTTATATCATAAATATATATATATATATATATATATATATATATATATATATATATATATCACTTTTCACTTGTTTCTTTATTATTATAATATTGTTCACTTTATTATGACATTTAAGAAATTTTCACGACTGATTTCTCATAAAATTAACGTATGTAGTAAAATCACGTGACCGATATTTACGTATTTATATATATTTCCATATGACAACCTTTTTGATAACGACTGTATATATATATATATATATATATATATATATAACGCTGGCCGCAGATAGATAGATAGATAGATACTTGAAGTCTAATTAGAATTGCATATGATTACATTTGCATGGGATTTCAATCATATTACACAACATATGCAATTCTAATTAGATTTCGGGTATCTATCTATATATCTATCTGCGGCCAACGTTTTTGCAAACGGGTGTATATATATATTATATATATATATTAATATTATATATATATACATATATATATATATATATATATATATATATATATATAATATATATATTATATATATATATATATATACATATACCGATATACCGGGTGGCGCTAAAAAAAGGTTAACCTGTTTGATTGAGTATAACTTCAAAACTAAAACGTCTGTTACACTGAAATAACTTTCTTTAGCTTCGTGAATGTCTAACTTAAAATTTGGTATATACCATGCGTATTTTGATACAATATTCCCCGAGATATCAGCGTTTTACTTTTAATACGTATTTTTGAAAAGTATACAAAAATTAGTCAAAAATGGCATATTAAATAAGAAAAGATAATGTTCGTTTTCAACTTTTTTCCTGATATGACTTCTTGAGCATTGTTAACCCTGGCATATTCTGTGAAAACTCAAACACGCTAGCTGTTGTAGCTATCGTTAAACGAGGCATATTAAGAAAAGAAGAAGCAGAATTCATGCGAGATTGTTTGTTAAATTTGGTAGCGAGCTACCGAACGAATTTTATCCCCCATGCGACATGAAACATTTAGAACAAAGTCCAAACCAAAATAGATAATTTTTGTTTTAACGCTTTCCAACATGTCATTACACAGAAAATTAAAAACTTAATCCATCTGTCAAATGCTTCTAGTTAAACTTCATTGAAACAGACAGAATACGTGCCATAAAATACTAGGATTTGTTAACTCACTTTAATATGCCATTTTTACACTTTTGGAAAATGCATACTTAAATTGAAACTGCGATATCTCAGTCAAAATTGCATGAAAAACCTCATGCTATATATCAAAATTTAAGTTAGACATTAGAGAATATAAAAATCATAATTTTAGTGCAATAGTTCCTTTAATTTTGAAATATATCTGTCATGTGAATAAAATTGAGGTGTCTTTCAGTTGTCTCTTTATAGCGGTGGAAAGCAAAGCTGCATCCACAAATTACCATATAGCACAAATGATAACCTGACCTTGAATAAAAACGATTGGTATTGTTTATGACATTCTTACCTTTCGCGCCTCTGATATCTTGTTTTCAAATATATACGCCACGCAGTCGTGCAATACTTCTAACTTTCGAATATTGATATAATGCCGGGTTTGAAAACTAAACTCTCCTGACCCATACGGAACTTTGTCATACGATAACTGGGTTGTCTTGCACGTTGCAGAGTTACTGTGATCTTGGTCGTCTACCAAATACTTTTCAATAACAGAGGAATCAAGCATGGGGAATGTAGATGGTGGGTCGTCATTTATATTTGGTATTAAAGGTGGCATGTCATCTTCTCGGGAACAATTAGACTCCTGAAAACAAACCACAAGGCAACAAATGTAGACAAATGTTTATACCTCGGTAATTCAACTTCGAATTACATTTTTTAGAATGTACTATAGGTTTCAGTAATACATGTATACATACGTACGCTATCATACAGCCGTTTGGCAATCTGTTGAACATTCGACGTTATTTCAGCGTCGAGACCCAATTCACTTTTCAAAGTTTCATCAATGCTTGCTACAAGCTTTGGAGAAAATGGTAAATACTAGCTTAGATAACTAGATATGTATTTTAGAATGTTACATGGAATATATTATTGCCTCACCTCGTCAAATAGATCACATGTTCGGTGCGGAGGACCTCGATCAGTTATTAACTGGTTAAAACTGATGCTATCTAAAACCTTGTAAAAAATATGCATACGCATGTGTGTCAAGTTCATTGCCGTTTCAGAAATTCAATTAATCGACCTATCTCCTGAAATCTTTTGAATGTGTGAAATTTAGTCAAAAAGTTAAGAAATATACGCCAGCAACAAATGAATTGAATGAATCAAATGAATTATTCTTAAAATTTGTGATATCATCATGATGTCATTTTGGTCCATATAATTAAACTTCTGCAAATGATTTAATGGAAAAATCCAAGGTGTACTTATCGGGCATAAATAAAATACAAGATTAAATCCTGCCGGACAACCATGGAGAGTTTCATTTAAATGTAATGATTTTATGTATTCCTTCGATTCCTTGAACTTTATATCACAATGTATTCTATGAACTATATATAAAAAGCGTTCAGTAACACTTCAGTTTATTAAACAAACCTTGTTAAAAAAATCATCTCCAAAAACTCCTCTTTTTTCCATAAATGTTCCCTAACATATGAAAAGTAGAAGCATTCCAATATTATATACAATGTCTGCATGTCATTGCCAAACTTAATAGACCTTTTTCATAATAACGTCAAACGCGGAAAGTCTGATGTTACACGAAGTTTGATTCGCTTGATAGTTTTGTGGAGTCAATCAAATTTTGTATCAGATCAGACTTTCCGCGTTTGACGTCATTATAAGAAAGGTCTATTGAGAAATGTCTCAATGTGGACGTCTTATATGACTATCAGCTATATATGCTTAGATTAAATTTATACAAGTCGAGAATAGCTATATATGCTTCTCGCCATTCCGAACATATACCAAATTATACACAATGATGGCACTCTAAAATGCCTACATAATAAACACACGCAAGAGATAAATTAGTACTTTACATTGCAAATGAAACGCGAGCTGATAATGTATGCTATATACCTTATGAAATGTGATGACCGGTTTAGGATGAATACGAATGACTTTTAAACATGATCTGTACCCTGAAAATATTTGAGCGAACAGACGCATAAAAATTGCACGGATTTCTTTATCCTAAAAAATAAAATACAAACAGTAATTATTTTGCCTTGTAGGAATGACACCTAACTCTGCACATCAAGTTCCCAGGGCCTCTTGGGACTTTATATGGGGGCGAGAGGAGAGAAGAGGAAAGGCCCTGGGATCGGCCGTTCAAAATACCCACATTTCGTGGGTATTTTGAATTAGCATAATTTATCATTAAATTTTGCGCAATATTTTCAAAATGGCGGCGTCACATAGAACTATAATATGGTCGCACTTAGGCATATTGGAATTGTACTATTTCGGAATAATTACAAAATATTCCACTAATTACATAAATTAGGAAAAATCATTTAACCATGCAGTCAGAAGCGGGCCAAGCGGCTGTCCGATCCCAGGGCCTTTTACCCCAACCCAGAATGAAGGAAAATGGCCCTGAGAACGAGGTTGTCTACACATGCATTTAACTTTCACAGCAAATTGCATGCTACAACAACTGCCTAAATTAGACAAAAACGCTTTTAAACGTTTCGATCTAATGGCGTTTGTCAGGAGTTATATTCTTGTCTATTTTATAGCTGTCATGCACGTTGTTTTATATAGTTATTTTGGCTATACATGCATTTAATTCACAAAAATAAAGAATGCATGCAGTATATGTCACAGCGGATTTGGTCTACGGTCAGTTGGTCCTTTGCCAAGAGAGTATATGAAAGAAAGGGACGACACGTTTTGTATAGTCAACAACTTTTAAAGCAAAATTGTAGGTTGTCATGCATGAAGGCCAACAGTTGCAACCAAAACAATTAACGTCGCGGAAAAATGGCACATTCATGAAATACGCGTCCGTGTCTGAAATTCATTCGTTGCATGCAACCTTGCCTTTGATAATTATACCTGCAAATGTACGGGTGATGGGTTGACCAACGGTGGGAAAGTGAGATCAGACACGACTAAATTGGGATTGAGGACCTGTAATGAAAGATATTATCAGAAAATAGATATATGCTAATTACGTTATATCCTATTGTCAATTTTCTTATACAAATTGGCCACATGCATGGACGCCTGGGATTTAGAGGGCTTGTTAATGTTATTCATGCAGAAAAATTGACACATGCATATACATCAGCTAAAAAGAATTCTTTGCATGGCGCAATGCATTTGATTAATTAAAGATGTGCCAAAACCATGGAGTTCTGTCTTATATATACATAAAAACCTGCGGCACAAGAGAGCTAGTAGCTGAGCTAAAGGTTACTCGTGCCTGTTAGTTCTGTGAATAACTCGCCGTGTGCGAGTACATTTCACTGAGTTTTACGATTCACGCAATCTTTTATCAAACATGCTTAATATTTTTGGCCACGCGAGGCGTAAAACTCTCCTTAATTCTCTTCCCCTCGCGTCGGGGCTTTTCCCTCTTTCTTTGTTCTAGTTTGCAGGACAATTACACGCACCCGGGTAGGTGAGTTCTCTTTAGGTTCGGTAAGTTTTTTGTTTGTGCGTGTATATTATCTCCACTCGGATTCACCGCTGAGAATTGCGTGTGATCATGGAATGGACAGGGTACCGTTTAGGTCCACATGCTCCTACGTATCACCGCAATTAACTTAGATCGCATCGTCTAGCTCGATTGCTTCGTTTCCGTCGATCGCATTGCCGTGTTAAATAGATAGATAGTTTCATAGTTCACACACATTGCAGTTACAAGGACTGAATTACGTAGTAATTACAGGTGATAGTAGGCTAAAAATGTTGTAAATATTTACAATAATTGAGCTAGTATGGCAGTAAAAAATTATAATTTAGTATACACCCGACTATTTAAAAGTTATTCTGCGAACTCGAGTCGTATATGAGCTGATAGCCGACGAGGCGCGTAGCGCCGAGTTGGCTATCGGCCATATACGACGAGAGTAACTGTTTTTTATATTCACAAACTTTGTCGCCCTTTCGGTGCATTTTGGTGTTCTATTATATCAACTAGGCTTGGATTTCTATTTCACTCAACTCCCCAAATCTTCCCGCCATTTTGTTTACTTTCTCTACTAGACAGATATGAGCTAATATCTGTCTAGTAGCCAACCAATGAAATTGCAGCATACCTCATATCTGGCGCTTGTGAATATAATAATGTCTTTTACAAATCCTACATTCTGATTGGCTACTCAACCATTGTCTATTCGTGATGGTAGACGTTTGGGGAAAATTCACTCGCGCGACCGTATAAAATTGAATTAATTAAATTATTTTTCGGTGTAATTGCGGTGTATCGATTATTGTCTCGAAATTAATATATCTAGGTACAGAGTGTATACTCAGGCTTCGCCTTCGTTGACTATTCGCTCATAGACAACTCGGACTCGTTGTCTAATAGTTAAATAGTATATAGATTATAAAACGTTACAATATCATATATAGTTATAAAATTTACAATATATAGTATTCAGATATAGATTAAAAATTTAAATTATTTATTTATTTGGGCAACTACTAACAATAAAAGAGTTTTTGAAACGGTCTGTAAAAAATTTGGGAATATAAGAATGTTTCTCCGTACGCAACTCGTACGTTAATGGAGGTTCCGATCTACACATCAAATGGTTCAATTTGTGGCTTCGATTGACTAAGATCTGGTCAAAAAGTTTCTTACAGGCAGATTCCCTTCGTGCGTGTGTTTCCAACCCACTTTCGATCAATCCATTATTATAATGTGCGGACGGGTAAATAATTCGTAGAAATTGGTTTTGGACACGTTTAATTTCACCACTAAAGTATTTTGGTAGTGCATAATGAAACACTGTCGATGCGTATTCCAAAATAGGGGGAATACAAGTGGAATACAAGTGGAATAGAACTGTAGGATGTCCTTTTCAGGTACTCTTGCACGCTTTAATTGAATTAAAAATATTTCCGTTTGGAGGATTTTAAAATAATGTTGTTGACGTGTTTGCTCCACTTCAAGGTTGGCGTGATGGTAAGACCAAGTAATTTCGCCTCTTCTACAACTTCTAAGAGTTCCCCGTTGACTTCAATTGGGGGTAATTAACTCCCTATTTTTTTAAAATCAATACGCAGTTCTTTACACTTTTTCTTGTAAAGGCGAAAGTGATTTGCCTCAGACCATTTCTGAATATCCGTGAATGCATTCTTGTTGTTACTTGGTGCGAATTTCTGGACGGATTCCGATATTGTGACATCGTCTACAAATTTGAATTGATCATCAACACTGGTGGTACTTAAGTCATTGATAATTAGAACAACAAGCCAGGGACGAAGTTTTGTTCGCTGCGGAACACCAGCAGGGACATTCCCCCATTCTGAAAAGCAGCAGTCTTCTCCAAGTTTGACTCGTTAATTGTTGCCTGTTGGTCAGGAAATCTGCTATCCAATTAATTTCAGAGCTCATGATGTCTAGGGATTTCAATCTATCCAGGATGATGGTATGGTGAGCAAGGTCAAACGCCTTTTGATAATCAAATAATACGACTTTAATCGAGGCTCCTGACCCATCTGTTGCTTCCTTCCAGGATTGAGCATTCTTGAAATGGCTGCCAAAAGGTTTAGCGGCTTCGCAAAACACATGATCTAGTTAGACGCTATTGTAAGTATCGTGCGCGATTGAACCCTCTCTGCTGCGGGAAAGAGCCTCGACTATCTTTGAGATCGTTAAAGTATATATCATTATATACAGTCGAAGTTTCAGTCAAGTATAATTAGTACATAAATGTTTATAATCATGAGTAGTTGCCGTTCTTTCGCCGGTATATAAACAGAATAAATTATATATTTATCCGCATCGGTTAACCACACTATTTACGCCTCTTTTAGTGGTAAACTCTTCGTGTGAGCTTTTGTGACGACGTTGTTACAACATTGTATACAGCGCTTGCTGTGGACTGTTGTAATGAGTATTTTTTCCGGGTCGCTACTTCTCTCTTTGATAAAAGCTCCAAAACGTCCCTTTCATTTAATATATTTCATATACCCTTAACATTTTCCTAGCGTGTGTTTAATATATAATCTCATATATACGACCTTGCTTATAAAAAAAGCGATCGTCAATTTCGCCAATGTTTTGTTTATTTTTTATTTGAACAAAACTATTATTTTAGTTGAACAAAAGTTTTTTGTGTTGGCTTTTGGACTGTGTATGGTTTGACAGTAAAAAATACCGACATATTACAAGGAACAACTCAATAACATTTGTCATTTTACACGAAGTATTCTGATTGGCTGTGCCTGAAAATGTAAACAAATATGCCAACTAGTTTAAAACGAAATTCCTCCTTTTTTTTTCGGACGACTTCCGCGATATTTTTAATTTGCTTTCTTTGCATTTTTTAAGAAATAAGCGCTCGTGCCAGGCCTTTGATGCATCACACGCATTTTGCGCGATTAATTAGACCCTTGACGTCGCATCTGGGGCCACTAAAAATACTCTTCTATATGTTGTGAATTGACTGAACCTGCATTTTATGCATTAAATATGTAATTCCATTGAGCTATTATTGAACAGATGTACTTCCATTTAGCTAAATCAAGCTATACATCGAAATATTTCAGCTCATTTGTCCAATAAATAACATTTGTTTTCCGTTCTGAACTTATGCGCCGTTTAAGCTAAACGCCTTTCGAACAACCGCCCCCTGAAGGACAAATTAACGTAGTATAAATTTTGCATAAGATACAGAAATATTTACTGGTGCATGTGTGAAACTATAACTGGTGCACGCATAACGAATATTTTTATTGAAGCAAGGAAACATCTGGAGCCTGGAGGAATTCTTGTCATGTTAATATACGACATATTAAAACCATAATGTTCTTGAACTTTTGCATGTTTAATTCATAATCAAATCATTCATTTGTAGAAAATACCGCTTGAATTGCACTGATGAAGGCCCGGGTTAACGGACCGAAAGGTTCACGCGCGCTGTTTTTTTACACATTGATAATTTTAATTCCCCAAATCTTATTTCGCCTTGCGCCATGTCGCAGCAACAGAACCGCATAGTTGTCGGATGAGTTAACTCTTAATTCAGGGGGAAAATCCACTTCTTCACAAGAACTTAACACACTAGGGAGGTCTAAATTAAATTCCCATCACGCATACACTACAATATCGTAAACATTACATATAGACATACCAATGTTAATGCATGTCTTGTCCTGGATAAATATGGTTCTGGAATGGAACATAAATTGACAGATTCCGGTATACTGACATGTCCACCGTCTAGATCAACCAAAATAACATCATTCTAAAAAATAATGTCAATATACCATTAATAATTCCACAATTCAGTATACCATGCAATTAATGCCAAAATCATACGAATATAGTTATTATCAACCGACCGGGTATACGAGTATGATTTTGGCAACTTAATTCTGTTATTAAAAGATTCAATTTATTGAACTTTAACATAATTATTAAATTTTTATCACAACCTTCCTTGGTAAATAGTACAATTTGAATGTATTTGCATATACTATAGACTCAAATCTCACTCCTCTTCGAGGCTTCGAGGCATGATCCCGCTTATTAACCGAGATGTTTACATGATTCTGCTTAACTGAGATGTTTACATAATCCTGCTTAACAGAGATTAAACGAAGCGTAAGAAGACTTTGGGGTACTGAATATATATATTAATCTATAATATTTAATCTAATATTCATTTATTCAATTATAAAATAGTTTAGTTGCAATATAAATATAGATGCCTTGCGAACCTAAATGTTGTTCGATCGCGAATTTTAGAAGCACATCGTACTTTAAAAAGTATAGAAGTTCAATTGTTCTAAAGTGTAAATAAGCCGCATGATACGTTCACTTTGTCTTTGGCTACATGTATTAAATATATTCTGACCCCAATTAAATGTAAACTTAATCGAACAGCATCAAAAAAGGTTTACTGGAGGAATTGCCGTATCATACGAGCGAAATCGAATCGCGCATCGGAAAATTAGACAAAGCTGTGCACCACAAGTCTTGAGAGACAAAACTGGGACGTAATACGGTCACATACACATTTCAAATACTAGTACATTTCGCGCCAAGCACACTTGCGAGGACGAAAAAAAAAACATAAAAAAAACCAAGGCGATATATATATATATACTAAATTGTTTAGCAACTAAACTGCTTAAATAAATGAATATATGTATATATATATATATATATATATATATATATATATATATTATATATTAATATATATATATATATATATATATATATATATAAAGATAAAATAAAAAACTTGGTTTACTTCATAAGATTTTATTCACTACAAACTTGTTTCGTATGACAAGCAACGCTTGCCACACTCATCAGGTGAATTTAAACTTTATATAATTTAAATAAATTCACCTGATGAGTGTGGCAAGCGTTGCTTGTCATACGAAACAAGTTTGTAGTGAATAAAATCTTATGAAGTAAACCAAGTTTATTTTATTTTATCTTTATACTAGCTCTATACTTTGGTATATCGAGCACTCTACTCATATATGATTCTAAATACATATTTGATATATATATATATATTATAATATATATATATATATATATATATATATATATATATATAATGTGAACTTACCACCTCGGGTATATTGGTTTTATAGTTTGTATGCACACCCATTACAAAAGGTGTTGGAGCATTTATAAAGTCCAGCAAGGCTGACGGCAATATTGGTATATACACATAGCTAAACAAACAGGAAAAATAGCTTTAGTGTCACATTGATTAGGTAATGTTTCATGTGCCGCATATTGTAAGCTATAATATTAGAGTAAGGTTACGTGTTAAGAAACATTTGCATGATATCGAGAATTATCAAGGCCGAGATTGTGTTTTCCACCGAAGCCTGAGGAACTACATGCAGCGTGTACTGTACTTGCAGCGTGCAATAATATACTTGGGAACTACAGCGTGCAATAATAACTTGGGAACTACAGCATGCAATAATAACTTGGGAACTACAGCATGCAATAATAACATGGAAACTACAGCTTGCAATAATAACTTGGGAACCACAGCATGCAATAATAACTTGGGAAATGGGAACTGCAGCGTGTAATAATATAACTTGGGAACTACAGCATGCATGCAATAATAACTTGGGAACTACAGCATGCAATAATAACTTGGGAACTACAGCATGCAATAATAACATGGGAACTACAGCTTGGAATAATAACTTGGAAACTACAGCGTGTAATCATAACTTGGGAACTACAGCGTGTAATAATAACTTGAAAACTAGTTCCTAACTTATTATTGCATGCACGCTGTAGTTCCCAAGTTATTATGCACTTAACACTTTTTTTGGACCGAACTTTCAGCACCTGAAACAACTGGTCCGCCTCAAAATATTACTCGAGGCAATTCGGCCAAGAATAAAATTTAAATGTTCAATCATGCACTAACGAGAATAAAATTTGAATATTTAATAATAGTATTTATTATTCATTTAAAAGAATTCACAGCCTCTGATTTGCTAATAGCAATGTGTGAAATCGTCATGTCCAACGTGTGACGTTATAACGCGTGATACGACTTTTTTCCTGCACTTTACTACGTCATAACGTGTGATAAATAGTCGTACCCTACGTTATGACGTCACATCAATGCCAAAAACATCAACGTCCCAAAGGAGCAGAAATGTGAAATCGACACAAATTCAAGCGAACAATTCAAAATTGTAATGTTCATTCTTCTAAATGAATAATAAAACAATTATTGAATTCGGTTTTCACATGATATGATGAATTATCAAGCCTTAGTTTATGTCATTTTAATACACAATCTTCGTGCATTAGCCTAACTACTCACGCGATTGGTCAAAATCAATCACGCGGTTTACTTCAGAATCCGCGTTCCTTGAGATCATGAGAATCATAACTTGTTCGCAGTAACCCATGAAAATCATGGTTTATTCGCAATAACCCATGAAAATCATGGTTTATTCAAAAATGACAGCCTGCAACGAAGCTTGGTTCTTCAATGCAGCAATTACAGTAGTGAACTGAGATTGTATATAAAAAATGTTAGAGACTTTATGTTCGTGTTTTGTTTACAAATAAACGCACTTGCTGACCATACAATGACCTCGAAATTTCATGTTCATTGTATGGTCGCAAGTGCTTTTATTTGTGAACAAAACTCTCACAACAGTTTCTAACCTTCAGCCTTCGGCTTCGGTCGATAACCAGAAACTTCGGCTTGATAATTCTTGATATCATGTCCAGCCTCATTCAATCATTGTTATACCTCTACTACCGTATACTCCATATCACATATGGCTTCTGACCTAATACATTGATTGTTTACTGTTGAAAAAAAATTTCGTGATTTCTGGCCATGAAAGGTGTAAATAACTAAATGCATCAACTTGAATTGAATGTGCATGTTTAAATTATGCTTATATTATAAATATGTTTATGTCATACCTAAATTTTAGAGGATATAAAATGGCGAGAAGACCAAGGGAAGCATTGGTGAGCGATGAATAACTGCTAGAAAACAGAAGCACTTTGTTCTCTGTAACCAATGCGCAGAACAACGAAAGCACGTTGTGCATACCTACAGAAAAGCAATAAATAGTATTATTATCACTTCCTTAATAACGGATTTAAAACAGATTAAAATCAACGTTAGCAATATTTGAGGTATTTATATTATGCAATTTAGTCAAATTCTTTCATTTGATGGCCTTCATCTCTGCTTGATGTAAATCTAATTTTTTATGCATGCCATGCAGGTTTCTAAAATTTATACAGTAACATTATAGCCGAGATATAAAGTTCCAATTTGCAGCTGAGTATGTTATCAAGAACAATCAATGCAGTAGCATGTTAGTAGTATGTGAGTCGTCTGTGAGAATCCCGTGCATAGACGTCATGCATCATTAGACGGAGAACTGGTGACTGGCTATACTGCAAAAAAGTCTATTAAAGTGCTTTGCAATCGTGACTAATAATTTTCAGAATGTTTTAGTCACCCCTTGTTAAGACCGGCAATTTGCCTAAGCAAGGGGTGTTTGAAACTTAGAAGTCAATATTTCGGTGAATTTGAACGTTTGAGTCTTAAAAGTTTCAGCACGTACTACAATTATTATACTATAAAGTTCTTTTCAGCTGTATATTCAGATTTCCTGTCAAATTTTGACTCTATAACATCACACACAAGCCTTCATATAACACCTAAGGCCAAATTAAAAATTGTGGAAACTGGGAACAATGGGCAGGGAATATCAGGATTTTTAAAAAATTACAGTTGGCAACACTGATTCTAGTAAACACAGCATATCAAAATTTACCAATGTTGACATTATTTCCACTCAAAAACTTATTTGGAAAGAAACCTCTGTACATTAAATTGAAATGGACGGTAAGTATTATCTTTCTTTTCATGTTAAGATTAAAAGAAATTATTTTGTGTATTAACCTGAATTCCTCAAACACATAAAAAGTTACCTAACCACAATGCCACAATTCTAAAGAAAGGCTGCAACAACACTTTAAATATATTACCAAGAAGTCGAAAAACATTAGCCACAGATTTTCCAGTGATTGGAACTTCATCCCAGTGTGGTGGACTAAGAGTTTTCTTTTCCCCTATCCCAATAGAGAATGTAACTGCATCAGAACCAACAGAGGGGACATGAACAAAACCAAGAACTGAGCCAATAATCTTTTCGAGATTTGCATCCCCATTCAACCATGATGTATAAATTGTCACAAGACAACTCTAATGAAAAAATACATAGAAGATATGTTGTAACTTCTTGCAAATAAGTGTGTGAAAGTTTTAAACTTTCCTTGTTCACAAACATACATGCAAAGTTCAATTAACTTCAGAATATTTTAACAAAAGTGGTATAAAATAAACTGTAAGGTACTGTTTGGGGACAGGCACATATTTTTAACACATTTGTATAAATTAAAAGTAGATAAATCAGTAGAATATAAAGTTTGAAAATACCTTTAAGATATCAAAGTAGGTAAATCTTGAGACAAGACAAAGACACTTTGGATAATACGCTTCCATCTGCACATCCTTCTTTGATATTGGTGAACTATTACTTGTATGAGTTGTATCACCAGAAACATTCATGGCATTGTCAAAGTCATCTCCCTTTCTTACAAGTGTAAAAGGTTCATAGAATGACAAACATGCTACATAACTCCTGGTACCAGCCATATCTGTCAGTACTGACACATAAAATGTTGATGGTTTGCTGTAATAGGATATCTCCCAACCCCCAGGTTGGCAGAACTAGGAAAAAAATATATCCTTTTTCAAGAACATGTTATTCCCTTTTAGCTTTTTACTTCAGGAAAATATCAAATGCATAGTATAACCTTTGGTTACATCTTGCTCAATCAATATTAAGGTTGAAATGACATTTGATGAAATTTCTAGGTAAATTATATCTATATCTGTTGAGAACGTTTTGGAGACAGCTGCCAAAATGCGAACCTTACAAGGATATGACTCAATACTGTATGAATCACACACCACTGAAAGAAGACAGGTCAGTAGCCTCCAAAATATTACACTGGATATATAGTGTTACTGTACAAGTTACTTTATTCACTATATTCACCATATTTTATGCATATATGTATGGTACTGAAAACAAAAATTTGCTTATGTAACTAGTTTTAAAATTTAAAAACTTAACATTTTGAAATTTAACCATGGTTGAAACTCATAGGCAAAAATCTGTGTGAATAAGAGATTTAGTGAAAATAGTGAACAGCTATTAAACTTGGTAGGTTGGAAGAAATAGGGTTTTCACTATTATGCTATATTGATGATAGTAAAAATTTCAAAGATTACTTCAGAACCCACGGTAGCAAGATATGAATACACACTGATAAACCTGTAAGTTATACATATAAAAAAACATTGAACATGATTTTGTCTTATAAACTCATTTTTAAATTACCATTTCAATTCCTTCAGGGAAGGTAACATCCTTTCTGTCTTGAGAAGGAAAACGTTCGAGCACCTTACCCACTAACTCCTGGCCATCTATAAGGGGATGAATTCATTGGTTTTCAAGTGCAAAATAAAAGTTTCAAAACATAAACATACACTTGGATGACTGGTAGTAAAAATCAATAAAATAAACTCCCGATAAAATTAATTTAACAAATACCCATGTTATTAAAAAAAGTGATATACACCTGTTGAACTATCCTTGAGTATGCCAATAACGGCAAAGTAATCTGCCAAACGAGACATAACGAAGCCCTACCCATCACCTTTGATCGCATAAGCCGCCATATTGCTATAACAAACCAACCTGACGTGACGTCACTTGTCAATTGACAAACTCACTGAGCTATACTGTTATTACTGGAGGAATAATAATTTTTCTTCTAAAACTTTCCCCCAGAAAACCTGGCCAACCCAACTCTTAACAGCGAAGGTCAATTAGAACTACCTTGTTTCCTTGTTTCATGTTACTTTAATGCATGAATTTGACTTTCACAGAACAAGAACAAACACTATTTTTAAAGAATGGGATAGTTTTATACTCTAAAATCGATCCTTTAACAGATATTTAACGTAATGAACTATTGGCCTGGTAATGCTGGTATCTATTGTTTTCGTATTACTAGGCAAGTTGTTCGAGTAAAAAAAGAGTTTAATGAATGTTCGGTTACCATAATTACGAATACAAGAAAGGCCTATCACGATGGAAAAGGGCGGATTTTTATAAACACAATAAATAAATTTAACCGTTGTAATGATGAAATCAGGAGCACAACTACAGGGGGATTTTGGGGGGTGTGACAATGGTACATTCTCTTGAAATGATACATTCGTCGGGCAACGATGGCTGGCGAATGTTTGGAAGATTTCCTTGTTCTGGCAGCCGAAAAGGACTTAGCTGAAAAGATTGACTTCAAGTAAGTTTTGCCGGATAGAACGGCTTTATAATGTATAATAAACTATAAAATCTGATCGCAGGTGAGAAAAACGTTACTAAAATATAAACCTCTACCTGAAAAAGCTATTAGTTTCAGTTAAGTGACCACTGGCAGTCTGGCCGCACTCTGTTCGTTGGGCAAAATAACGCTACCCTCCCCCCCCCCCCAAACTAGAACAATTAAAATTCGTGCAATCGTAATAGTTTGACAAGCTATTAATTTAAATATTCTACGATCTATCTCCGAAAAACTGTCGCTTTTTCACTTGGGTTGAACGAAATACATTTTTTTATGAAAATTTTGTCAAGTTAACTATATTAATATATGAAACAGTTTTGAAATTGAAGTTAAAAACTTACAAACAATAGAAAATGTACACCATTTTTCCACTTGATTCAATTGATTGCAGTTGACCCACTGAGTGGGTTGACAACAAAATGTTACATGAAAATTCTGCATAAAATTGGATACAGCCGTACAGACGCCAGAGTCCTTATTTAATTGTCTGGCTTTATCGATAGTATCTTCATGACAGAGCTGAAACAGTAAAATTTGGCAACAAGTACGACTCGGATATTGAGTTGAGGCCAGGGAATATTTCCCCATGGTAATGACATTACATTATCATTTTTTTTTCAAAGTGGAAGTGTGGAACCATGTGCCATTGAAGATGTATTTGCATGTCGATTTTTAGAACGGTTTTCTGAATATGTCAATTCCCCATTAGGAGATTGCAGCTTCGCATATTTATTTAAATAAATAAATGGAGCAGTGAGAAGTTGTCTGCTTTTTATTATACCTATATTCCTATCTTCTAATAAGTTAAGAAGCGGAAATTGTATCCCGATGGTGGATCCTTCTACTGGGGGCTGCATCGTTTTGTTTGGTGCCTATATACTTTTCCTATATATATATATAGGCTCTATATATATTATAATATATATATATATATATATATATATATATATATATATATATATATATACACTCATATTGACATTAAAAATTGGGATAAAAAATCCCTAGGATTAATTATAACGCACACATGAAAATTCCAGTAAACTTTAGTATATACATTTTATACACTTCCTAACGTTAACCAACTTCCCAAAGTTTATTTGCAAATATTAAGTATTGATTTTACATGTATAGAAAGGTGTGGAGGTAAAGTTTGATTAAAATTTGCATATCCTGTCAGTCAGGTTAGCAAAACGCAAATGAAGTTGGACGTTACTCGTTAGTTTGCTAATTTTTTATTGTATATTTTGTCACGTACTTTTTTGTTGCAGGTAGCTCATGGTTGATTAAACTTTAGAAAGCTTGAAGAAGAAACAACTAACCACTATCTTTCTCTCGATTTGTTTTTTGGGGGTGAAAATCCATAGCCGGGCAGGGTAAATTGCAATTTGCCCCTTCGCTAATACGCCATATATGTTAAAGAACTTAAAAGCCTATGGCTATGCAAAGGAAATTTGCACTTTATTTATGGTTGCATTGTAAAGAACACTTAAAATCACTCCCTTTGAATAATTTTGTTACCTTTTTTTAAAGATATAGCACTTTGTATGATATATGAATTACAGAGCTAGTAATGTTAAACAATCTGTTGTCTTGAAGATCAACTACTCAAAATATCATGTAACAATTATTCTTGTAAAAAGTGCATGTGTTAATCATAATACAGTGCGATATCATCAATTGTGTTATTTCGACATCTCACAAAGTTCAATATTTTGACAATGAAGAGGGTTAAAAAAATGTACAACAGATATTTTCATTTTAATTTTCTTTACAATTCTACCATAAAAATCAAGCGTGAAACTCAAACTGTTGCATACGCATCAAAACTGCATTAATAAACAAATAAAAAATGATGACGTTCCTGTGCACACGAGCGTCGTTTTCGAGCGTTTTCAAAATCGTTTTTGTCTATTTTATTGATCCAGCACTAGTGCACTAATTTGAATGACACAAGAAAATTGTTAAATATATATAACCACTTTGTTTTGTAATGTAAATTAGTGCACTAGTGCTGGATCCACCCATAGGCAGCCTGATATTCGTGATAATTTGAACGCAAGAAACTTTTCGGCAATTTGTCAACATGGTGTACACTTAGCCATTTCCGGCCAATCGAGCAGGGTACTGGCCTGGGTTTAGTCGCGAACCGCAAAGCAACTATGAAGTATGAACTATGGACTGTTTGGAGAGACAGGAAAATAATGTAGTCTGAAACACTGGTCTGAAATCATTTGTGTGATTTGTCCCTCCAAACAGTCCATAGATGCTTTTCGGTTCACGACTAGACCCAGTACCCTGCTCGATTAGGAAATAGCTAATTATTACTCCATGCTGATATTTGATAAATTGCCGAAAAATTTCTCGCGTTCAAATTATCAAGCATATTTGGGCTGCGTATGATCCACCCCTGTCAGCGCTGCCGAGTTCGGGATTTTATTCCGAGATCTCGGGATTTTTTAAAGCAGATGGGATTCTTTTCATCTTTTGAAATATTTGAAATATGGATTTTAAGTTTTACTCTCACAAGCAATGTGCAAAGGTGCAAAACATCCTTCTTCAACACGTGCATGAAAAAAAAATTTTCATTTTGACAACAAGTGTGAAAATAAGCCATAACACAAGAACGATGCTGCCGACTGTGGCCTGCTAGCCTCGTTTTAGTGTTAAGACTTATTTCCACATTTATTGGTCAAAATTAAAAATATTTTTTTATGCCTGTGTTGAAGCAGGGTGTTTTGCACCTTTGCAGGTGGCTCGTGAGAGTAAATATTGAAATCCATCCCAGTTAAGGAGGTTCTAAATTTAAAACGATAATGTTGTGACATAATTTTCGAAAGGGTCCATTGGCATTGCACTTTTAAAATAGTCTAGGCAGAACTGAATGTATGAATGTAAATATTTTGTTTGTAAGAAAACCTTGCCAATTCTTTTTGGCTTCTTTGTTAAAGAAAATCGCCCCTTAGCTGGCTTAACATGGCGAAATTACAACTCAAAGTTACTTGATAATTGACTACCATCATGCATTGCTAAGGCTAGCCTCGAAAGCTAAAAGGGGAATGGTCTATTCTACCATCCACTCTCGTCTTATATGGCATCGCCTTGTTGGCTAGCGAGCTCATGGTATAATTGTTAAATATAGCATTGTTTATATATAACCAAGGAGCAACGTAGCAGCGTCTTCAAACAACTTAACATCAAATGTGGTATAACAGCTGCCTATAATAGACAAAACACTTCTCGACGTTTCGACCTGAGGGCCTTCGTCAGGAGAGTTAGTCTTACTAACTCTCCTGACGAAGGCCCTCAGGTCGCAACGTCGAGAAGTGTTTTGTCTATTTTAGGCAGTTGTTATACCACATTTGATGCTAAAAAGCATTCTTTAAATTATAAAATAGTTGAATCTAGTGTTGATGTGGAATATATTATTCATGAAATATTAAAAGAATGCCTGTTAGACTTGTGAATAATAAGTGCCAAAAAATACCAACCAATACCAAACTATTTTGAAATTCAAAAAATGTGTAATGTGAATTTAAACATGACAAAAATACACTTCTCCTCTATTTGTACCACATGCAATTAGGCCATAACCAATTACTGGATGCCATACTACCACATTAGCTTTTAGGTTTGATGTGTTCTCATCTGTAGGCATACTAAATTTTAATGTAGCTGCTGGTAACTCTGTTGAAAAGTTAGTTTTCTTATATAGTTTAAAAATGTATGCCATAGGCATAGTCGTTGTGCTTTCTTGTTCATCTTGAAACAAGGACACCCTGTTTTCCCATGCTAGTCCAACTAAAAGGTGACAACTCAGAGGTGAGAAGCTCACACATAAAGAATTATGGTCAACTACTGTAGAGTATAAACAATGACCAATGCTACCCTTTTGCAAGGAAAATACACATACCATACACAATTCTGTATTGTTTTCCAATTTAACAACTAAGGCACTCAAAAATTGCCCATCTGCTGATATATCAGCTCCTAAATCATTAAACAATTTGCAGTTGTGTACTATCACATTCAAATTCCTTTGTTTAATATTTGGAATTCTAATCTCAGTAGCATCCCACCACTGTAACCTAACTAAATGCCCATTTTGGTTTAGTGTGCCAGTTTTCCTTCTACTGTGTTTAGGTACACCTTCTGTGATAACATGTTTAACAGTTGCTCTCATATTCTGCCTTTCAATATGAACAACAGAAGTTCTAATAGTCTGTGACATCTCTCTGACTTGACAATCCACTTTATCCCTTACACCATCACTAACAAGAGGACTAGTGTCATGTATGCCAGTTAATATGTGACTTCCAAATGCATCAAATTTAACAAGTCTGATTTTTTCATGTACTGATGCTGATTCTGCTATTGCAAATGGTTCATTCTGGTGCCAAGCCCAAAACAGCAGCTGGTTTCCTGTAGCAATTAATAGTACCATGTCAGTTGGATGAAAAGCAAGTGATGTAACGCTGAAGCAAGTACGCGAACTAATCAATTTATTTTCTCTCTCTTTCAAGTCCCAAACATTCACGATTCCTTTCAAGCAACCCGACGCAAGCAAATGTGGATATGAGGGGTGAAACACAACACACCAAGGAGAACGGGGATGGCCTTTTAGAGTATGCAGACAGCAACCAGATTTGACGTCGCAAATTCGCACGGTGTGGTCTCCGTGGCCCGACGCAACGGTTTCTCCATTAGGACTGAAAGCCATAAAAAACGTGCTCACAGCAGACTGTTGAAACTTGCAAGGAGTAGCCCGACGAGTGTGGGTTGTTTGGTATACGCCATACAACAGAATTGTGCGCTGTTCTTTATAGGAGAGACAATTCTGTTGCCGCTTTAACAAACACCAAGTAATATTTGATTCATAGGAACCACTAGGAGACTCTGAAGTATACATTTATAAAGTTCATACAAATATTATCTTTTTAAAAATTTTATTTGAAATTTTATTTGATTAATGTACTTTATAAACAAACTAATGATCGATGAGAATTGTGGGATAAATTAAATATAAAAATAGGTTAAATATATAAAATAATAACAAGTAATCATGGCGGCCTCGTGGCCTAATGGATAAGGCGTCTGACTTCGGATCAGAAGATTGCAGGTTCGAATCCTGCCGGGGTCGACTTCTCTTTTCCTACCCAGTGATCATATATATAGTTAATATGTAGGTTAACCCTAGTCCCCACTGCTTACTTACCAATTTGGAAGGTTAGGTGCAAGCTGTAGTCCGAGGTGGCCCGGGAACGAAGCAAGGTCGCAGGTGGCCTGGGAACTAGCACTGGTACTTGGACAACATGATCTCATTCCAAAATTAAGCTTATATCTTAATTGTCAAAAGCCTCTCAAATTAAGGTATTGCCTTAATTTTTATCATGATAAACGCTGAACAGATTTCAGAGAGATATCGCTGTCGCATCTTTACCCATCCAAAATCTTCGCGCAATTTATACCCGGTATTTTTCCCGGTATTATAATTTTACAAACATATACAAATTGTTTTGCGTTTTTTGTCATGAATATGGATGAATGTGAAAGACAAACAGGTGAGAATTTGTACATGCTTCTTGTGGTTTTCAAAAGCTCTATGGTTAGTGCACTATTATTTAATTAACTTTTCAGCATTTTAGAACTAGTTAGTGAAAGCCATATTGAATTATTGATATTGTAATATGTTTCCTCCGTGATTATTGCTTTAAATACTTTCCCCGCTATTGGGAACTATCTATGCTGCCGATAGAGCTGCCGAACATATACAAAGTTTGAGTTTGACAGCTTTAAACATCCGTTTTATACGAAATTTTCCTGATTTTTAACATGGTAAATAAGCTCTCTTGGGAGGTTGTTAAAAGGTACAATTATAGAATACCCTGCCAATAGCGCATAATGTTAAAAATCTGTTAGAGGATCAATTTTAGAGTACGGAATTGCCCTGTTCTTTAAAAATAGTGTTTATTTTTGTTCTCTGGAGGTCCAATTCATACATTAAGAAACATAAAACAAGGTACATTTATAATCATTTATCTACAAGACTATATGGCATTCACTGTTAGTTCACTGTTAAGAGTTGGGTTAGCAGGGTGTTCTATAATTGCTTTGTGAAAACACCAAAATATCTATCTGACACGTACTGTAGTGTCTTATGAACTAAATAACCTATTATTTGCCAATACTCAAGCAACTTTAGCATTTTATCAATGATGATTGCCATGTTATGAGTTAAAAAACCATTTTCCAGTGTCTCTTGTTGACCATGTAACTGGCGATTGAACTTAAATGCATCTACTTTGGTATTTTGCTCTGTCTAATGCTAGATTATTTTACTCACCAGCCACCAGGGGCCAGTTGTTCAAAGATAAGTTAGTGCTAACTCTGCATGGGTTAAATTTTAATGAAGAGTTTTTGTTTATGTGCTTCTTTCTGAACCACTGTACATTTTAAAACTTTAAAAGAATATGACTTATAGCAGTTAATTGGTTAATTCATTAAGTTGCATTGCACCCTGATGTATCCTACTTTGGTATTTTACTCCATTGCCAGATGATTTTACCTATCAAGGGAAGAGCACTAGTGCTTAATGGGTTAATGTGCAAAGTTTCTTTAGTGTTAAAGTTGTTGTTTCAACATGCATAAGGTAAAGTTATGCACCTAATATTCATGTTGTTTCCATGTGCCACATCTCAGGAATAATGGCATGAATGTAAAAGAGCAAATTTCAAGTAGCTATAGTGTCATACAAACATCTGTATGTAAATCAATTCCCTTGCTAAATTCACATTGATAGTTGCACAACTAATAAGGGAAACATAACTTCATATAAGCAAGTATAAAACTTTAATAAAAGCTTTAAAATAAAAACTTTGGTGCTTTAATAAAGCCATTATCATTCATTCAAATTATGCAGCTTTAAAATCTTTTATAAGCTTGTATTAATTATGTGCTCATAGAATAATTACATGTATGACTGTGTAATTATAACTAAATTTACAGTGCTAATTAGTTTCAATATTTGCCAGGTGTTAAGTTACAAGATAGGAGGGATAATAAAGAATAGGAGGATGAGGAATAGTACATGACATGGTGCATATGAAGAGACGTAACTGGTACATGTTGATCGAATGAAGCTTTTAAGAGAGGGTTTAAGCTGCTTAGTTATTTAAAAGCTTTTAAAAAACAAACCTTTCCTTAACACTGGACTTAAAGCCAGCAAAGAACTACAACTGTTCACTTAATCTCTCTATTTTAATTGTCGGGTCTTTCTTTCCTTAAATTAATCTATCTAACATATTGTTGTAAATATAGCATACATATTTAGTTTTATTCACACCCTTATCATGTTTTGCTCTGCTTGGTTTACCGGCCTTCCGCCTACATGCTGGATTGACACGTGCGCTCTCTCTCTGTGTTGTATATATATGCGTTGTAAAGTATTGTATTTCATTCTGTCTGAAGATGACTTTGTAATAAAGTCGAAAATTTACAGTCTCAATCTGTGTCTTGTTTGAATTATATTTTGATTCTCAAGATGTCTTGTTTGTTCGGAATTTGCTTTTTACCTTACTTTAAAAGCTTTTGTTAATCAATTATTCACAAGTGTTAATTGCAAAAGTCTATGCTTTATAACTCTTAACTAAATCCTAACTGTTTTAATAGCTATATTATTAAAAGATATATTTTGGGCTCTGTTTATTATAACGATTCATTTTCTGCCTGGAAGATATTTGGCTGCAATATCATATATTTTATACAAAAAATCATTGAGTACATTATGGAAGATTTGGAGTTTAGAAGAATATTTAGGCTGTAAAGTGTTAGCAAGCTGTAAAGCAAGTTAAAACTTTGTTGATTAGGAGATAGAAAACAACCCCTTAAAAAGCAGGCTGGATCCACCACTGTAAATTTGTATATAAGTATATTTTGATTCACAATCAATACCATGAAAAAGTAGTGCATAATATTAAATAACTTTAAATACTATATGCAGATTGCCTCATTAGAAGAATCTCTTCATTTAATTAGTTAATCCTAAAGATTCCTTCATTGAAAGAAATTGGCTGCACAGGTAGTTGCAACTTAAAATAATGGCTGGATCACGATTATTAATAGTATATGAGAATGATTGAGCTGGACAGCAGTACAAATGTAATTTGGGAATTAACCCATTTGTTGGAGTAATCAGAGCAAAATTTTGAAGTAGGCCACAACTAGGTGTCTTAATAAGAGATTCAAGCAGACATATACTTTTTTGGCCTATAACTATAGCAGTACCCTACCACTGACAAATAATTTCATCTGAAATTAGTAGTATTAACTGTTAAAAGTTAGGTAGATATATTTAATAAGAAGTATTAACTGTTAAAAATTTAGGTAGATATATATGCACTTATTTTGCTTTCTATTTGATCTGAAATACAACGGTAAATGAGAATGCAAAAGTGTACAGTAAATCATTATAATTTTGACATCTGGATATCGACATATCGTATAATGGTCCCTGCATATATTTTTAATGTTGTAATTTTAA